TTTTTTTTATGTTTTTTTATAGAATTTTCACTTGTTGGAACCATAAGAAGGGAAAGATAACAAGGAGCCAATCAAAAACCATACTGCGAAGAAAAACGGTCAATACCGTAGCCAAAAGAAAAATTTCTTAAGCAACCTACAAATCACTAAATAGAAAACTAACGATGGAGCAGTTCGAACCTCACCAAAGTTCAATAGATGCCCCGGACGGGTCAGCGTATTCTGCCCGAATAGTAAAACTCGTCATTTAAATCCAAAATGTGTTGATGAGTCTTATCCAGTAATAAGGCATCATACAATAATGGAATGGTAAGTTTCTCTTTTCTAACCCTTCGACATTACCAAATTTATAGGTCATGTAACCTCGCTAACCATAAAATTTTAACAAAGATGAAAGTTTTAATATAAATGAGTTTTAAGCAGGACAAAGAATAGACAGGTCGTTTACGATAGAGACATTGAAGGCACTGAAAACAACACTGAAATTTAGACCTTCTCGAAGCACTTTAAAACAAAACTATGCATGAATTCAGGTGATCTGTTACACAAGTTGCAAGTCATATTTCTCATGCCAAGTAAAATGGCGGTTATACTGAATCGCATTCGATGTTTTGTTTGAGGAAAAGAGGGTGAGTTTGTGGCTACAACAAATTGAACATATTCGTTATCATCTGTGACGCAGATATTGATAACGGTCATCTAATTCATGATAACGTCCATAAAACTTTGGAATGGACGACTTGCACATACTTGTTAATTCAAATTTAAGATAAGGAATAGCTTTCACAAGTTTTGATGACGTAATTGATAACAGATATGTTTGACATTCAAGACTTATAGTTATAACCAACATGTTGAATTGTACAACGCAGTTCAAGGCTGCTCTTATTTCAATCTAGTAACTAGTACCGTATTGAGTATTTGTCTTATCTATTTAGAACTGATTTTACATTAACATTGCCAAAACGTGGTGCATGAATCAACCCTCTAGGCCGAGAATTATCAATTCATTGTCCGGTTTTATACAAACTATTGATACACCATTCAATAAAAGAGATGTTTTAAATACTTTTATATTTTAGAATTCTTCTATTTTGTTCAAAAATAAACCTTTGGTATACCCTTCATTTTTAAAAAGCGATATCAAAACTATCAAGGAATTCAAAAACTACTGATTTTATTAGCTGCAATGAAATTTATAGGAAGTTTATTAAACGGATAAATTGTATTTTTGAACTTTCCAGAATTAAACAAGCAATTCCTAATATATTTTGTGAAAATTTTGAAATCTTGCGGAAAACAGAATTCTCATAATGAAATGAAATTAAAGCTATCAAATGACCTTGAGATTATGAACTTAAACAACCAAATAATAAAACCATCAAAGCTTAAACTAAAATGTATTACGTTATTAAATAAATACGTATCTCCAAAATGTCAAATGAAATGGAAGGAAGTATTCTGAAACAATTTACTTGGAAATCTGAGGTCGGGATTAAAACAAATGGGCATTGAAAATAAAGTAAAAGAATTTCAATGGAGATCCATGCACACTATCTTATATATCGAAGGTCATTACAAAAAAGGGAAACTATGAAATGGAACCCCCTACTTGTCAAAACGACAACATTTTGGTGGAGTACATCAAATTGATTTTAAACAACCTTCAAGAAATACTAATCCAACCAAACATAAGAATATATGCTGTTAAGAATTAACACAGGCGTATTAAAATATGACAATTTTCTCAACACAATTATTACATATTCTAAAATGGACGCCATGGAAAATTATGGATCCAATAAAATACAACTGGCCGAATGTCTTTTGAAGCATTCCTGTTAGTTAGTTACTCATTTGAGTGATTTGCGAACCTTGAGATCTAGATGAATAGCAAATATCAAATCACTCAAGCATTTTTCATCACCAGAATAAGCGTATTCGAAAACTAGAAGAAATTGTAAATTGTTAATCTGCGGAAATAATTGAACTTAAAGGTGAAAAGGCTATCGCTAAAAGTGAAAAGATAGACAGCGAGCAGCAAACTTCTGGTTAAAAGAAAATACGATTGAAAAGAACTGGATGAATAACAAATTTCAAAACACGGAGAGCAGGACCAGAATGAACGCATTCGCAAACTGGAACAAATTATTGCTAGTCATTGTTGACGTCTGTATAGTGCTCTATATGTGCTTACATCCTTCGGTCACTGGTGAATAGTTCTTGCATTGGCAATCATACCACATCTCCCTATTTTTATAAAGATGTAAATTATAAAACCCACTGCAAGATACATCTCACTGTAAGTACGAATACATGACGAATAAACACATTAACGAATAAAACTTTGTTTTAACTGTTCAGATCGGAAATAACCATAAGCTTTGAAAACGTAACAAAATATAAGTTCAATAACATCAATTCAATAATATGAAATACAAAATAAAGTTACATTCCTGAAAAACGTAGGAAACGATGACTATAACTTGGTTATATAGCTCTTCAACTGTTTCGGTTCTTATACATCCTTGGCTTTCATATATTCGGCTTTGAGCGTTCTCGATGAAGGTAAATCCAGAAAAGCGCTTCGGGCGCATGAAATTTATAACAATTTTATTTCATTTTTACAAGCTATTGCGGTAATCAGGCGTCAAATATGGGCAATTCAACCGAGATACAAAATATAAAAATACTTTTGCAGCCATTTAATAATACGATTCCGATTTAAAAAATAATATAAGGACAGTGACATTGTATCATATTCATGGTGTAAGAAAGAGGCGGAAGATACCAAAGGGAAATTAAAAACTCTGTTGTCGAAAAGAACTTGGCAAGACCATGGTAATAATAGAAAAACGACGAAAAGCAAACAGAAAAGACAATTCCACAAAAAACTAAATAGAAAACTAAGACTGAGCAACACGAACCCGATAAACTGGGGGCGAACCTAGGTGTTCAAACAAAAAATCTCCCTATAACACTATGATAAACGGAAGAAAAAAGATTACTTCAGTAGATTGATAAAGCACATTTCGATCTTAATATATTGTATTGACACCGGTCTTTTTTTTAAGATTGAATATTGACCTATATATGTTTAAACTATTTGTGTTGTTGGTTTGCTATTTCATTGGCGTATTGCCAAATTTATCTTATTGTTCACACACCAAACAGAAAAATTAACTACAAGTGGGAAAACAAGCAGTAATTATCAAAATAAAAATTTATATGGTTTACGTATAATTGAATGTAATCGTATTTAAACAACGCTTAAACAAAATATTAAACATCATTTGTTTTGTTTTGTTGGGACTACCGCAATAATCCATATGATCTCATTTTATTCATCTGTATATTTGAATGCCTAAAACAAAGTATAGAATCGAATGTTTGTAAATGAAAATATATATTCAGATGTGATAAAATTTGTTCCGATAAAATTTGTTCCAGCTATTTTGATTATCAATCATGAAAAAACAACGACTTTAGACTTGGTATTATCTACTTCTCCATCAGGCACACTGCATTTATGATTTAGAGTAAGGACTTAAAGGCTCGGATTCAGAGAAGGGTTATATGGTTTCCTGGAAACTGTTACCCTGTATAAACACTCGATTCAACGTTCTTGTTTAGTATAAAGCAAGGTATATTCATATCTCATTTACGTGTTTTCGTCCTGAATATACACGATGATGCTGGACGTTATGCAGCCATATATTATGGTCAATCTATTCTAATAAAAAATGCTGCTTCAGTGACAATAAACCAATTAGTACTTTTCTTTTTTTCATACAAATTTATTTTACGTTTCTATGTATGTTGGCGTTTGTTTTGTAACAGTTCAGTGTTTATGTTGTTCCGTTGTTTTCCTCTTATAGTTGATGTGTTCCCTCGGTTTTGGTTTGTGACTCGGATTTCAGTTAAATCGATTTATGACTATTGAACAGAGTATACTACTGTTGCCTTTATTTACAATAGTACATCATTTAATTTTGGCTATTAAGGATGCACTTTGTAAAAACAGCTGTTTCACAAACCACGCCTCTTTTGTGGAGAAATTTAATATTCATAGATATTTTATTGTGTTTACCAACTGGTTCCCAGATATGATATATATGCTTCCTCTCGTAGAGACACACTTTGAAAATGTTACCAGTATAAATACACATGGATGGGGAACAATTGAATTCTGAGGAAGACCCAAAGTGAAGGGAGGGGTAGTACACAATTTTAGTATAATTTAAACTCTCAGAAGTTCGAGGCATGTAAATGTTAAAAATATGCCGCACAGCCCAACCTTTGAAAAAAATAGTAGTGCATATAAACTTTCAACTCTATGAGATATTTTTTTACGAAACTTCATAGTAGCACAGTTTTAACCGTAAAATGCATTCCTATGGGAAATTGTATTGTCTATATTCACAGAAGTGCACCATTAAGGGGATTCCCTATAGGAATATAATAGTGTACCTACATAGGAGCGCAAAATGAATATTGTCAAAACTTATTTCTGCATTACTTCAGTTAAATTATTTTCTGATTTTTGTTTGCATTTTTTTCAGACAACTGTTTGGTCGACGAAAGTATCAACACTTCCACGTGCTCGGTTTGTCTGATCGTTTTCAAACTGTACTAAAACGTTCCGAAGCTATTTAAATTTTTATTAAAATGTTGAAAATATTTATAATGGCGACTTGCGTCGCTCACACGGGCTTTGATAAAATGTTTGATATCAGAGGCTTACAAATCTTTCGTGACAACTTCTATATGTCGCTATTCTAGTTGAATTGTACAACGCATTTCGAGGATTGTTTCTATTTTAATCCAGTTATTGTATCTCTATCTAATCTATTTAGAACCACATTTCTACTGTCACAAAGTAGTGCTGTATCACAATGTCTGTTCAAATGTCTGTGGTCGTTTTCCTGCTATTATCGATAAGTTATTCTCATGCGTCATTTGAGGATCTTGAGGCCCGCATAAATAGCAAATTTCAAAACATGGAAGGCATTTTGCAAGAACAGAATGAGCGTATCCGAAAACTGGAAGAAGTTGTGACCAGTCAAAATATAGAAATAGATGAACTTAAAAGTGAACTGGCTATCGCTAAAAAGGAAAATATAGACAGAGAGCAGCAGATTTTTGGTTTAAAGAAAATCGTATTAAAAGGTGTTATTGAACAGTCGACCGGAAAGTTAGATGATGAAATCCATAAGAAACAAGCGCATCTTGGCAAAGGTACGTACAGTTTCCTTGTCCTTCCGAAGCATTCTAACAGCAATAACATATTTTTAAAGTATTCTTGATTTGAATTATAATTATTTAACTTTATAATTAATGTACATCAGGTTTATATAATTACTTGAATACAGTAGCACATGAATCAACCGAACACCTTTTGGCCTTTAGATGTTATTTCAATAAGATGGGATATCTCGTCTATGGGGTTATTGGGATTAATCAATTGTAAATATCCAGTCTGGGTTTCTATACATTGTATGTTTAACACTGTTGTATATATCATATCCGATAGCGGTTAGAAAAATATAAACATGCATGATGAATCAGCAGACGTTGATTCATGAAGGTGTACAAATGTTCGCCAAACACTTGTACTTGTCGGGTAGTGAAATATAAATTTTTAATGCTCTGGGTTTGTGAGGTTTAACGGACAATTTCATCCCCGGCTACAAATGAGACAAGTACCTAAGCTAAGAACTACAAGGGACAAAAAGTGTCAATTATATATTTGATTAAACAATCATAATCTATTGAGGAATATTAAACATTCTTCTGCGTTTCTCCAAAAACTTGCAAATATAAAGTATATAACATTGTTAATCGTTTCAACAGTCCGGGATTTTTGAAACCGGATTTCCGAAAAATAGTCTTATTTAAGTCGAGTAGGAGTAAAGGACGATCCTGTCAACTTTCTTGTGGAAAACTGACTTATACTGTGAAAAATACGGTTATTGGTCTGAACAGATTATTTTAACAAAAAGAATAATTTTTATTTTTGTCGATTCAAAACTTCCTTTTAGACCGGTTCCCATTTGCATTTTACAACTAAATACAGTCAAACCTGAATATAAAGGTCACCCTTGGGACCACAGAAAACTGACCTTACAAGAGAGATGACCTTTGAATTGAGGTTATACTACAGAGGGAAAAGCAGAGGGTGACCTGCCAAGACAGGTTTTTGCTGAAAAGAGGTGACCTTTATAACAACTTTGACTGTATATTGTAAATTTAAACATATGTTTAATTACATGTACTAAAAAAAGGAAATGGTGTCAAGAAAATGACATGATTAGTAATAACAAAAATATCAAAATGTATGCGTGTTGGATCAGAATGAAAACTGGGAAAATGCAATTAATGTTTATGTATTCTTTCATTAGAAAGGATCTCTTTAGATAATGTAGAAGTTGAAAAAACCTTGGAATTTATATTGATAAATATATATCATTGTAAAATCAAATTGATAAAATATGTGAAATTGATCCAAGCATGTTAAAAAAGGTTGAAACATAATTTACCATTGAAGGTTCTTATTTTTTTCTTACAATAGCTATATGATACCAATAGTTGACTACTGTGTTATCCTGAATTGCATAAGCTAAAAAAATAGTGCTGCACGATTAATTTTCAGCGGTTTCGTGATTCTGTGTGTTTAATTACTATTTGCACAAAGATATAGTAACAATATTTTCAAGCTATCTTAATGTTTTGAATGGTCGGGTGAATGTTATAATGATGTTACTCCTATTTTTCTAAATTATGAATTTGGGAAATTGCATATAAAGTTTAAATGCGCAATGTCATAAATATTTGACTGAGATATAGAGATTATGTATGAATCGAATTTATTGACTTAAAGAGCAACTCTTTGTTCAATTGTGGTTTTAATAAAAAAAAAAAAAAAAGTAAATAAAGCACCCTCCTTTTTAGAGGTAGAACTCTACAATAAAAAAAATTGTTTTAAAATTTGTCCTATATTTCTATTAAAGATAGACCATTGATGTTTGAAATCTGTAATATCCCCAATTTTGTAACGCTTGATTTGTTGAGATTTACTCATAAATTGAATTCAAATCATGCAAAATATTAAAGCATAATATTACTTAAATAATTTTGATAATATATTTTTAGAGCAAAGTATCTGCGAAATAGTGGAGATACAACGCAATAAAAATATGTTTCCCAACTTCCGGTTTCAACTAGACGACTAAGGTCTTCGTGTACTAAAACCTAATTCTGATGTGTTTGATAGTACAATTAAATATTCTGGTCTTATTTTATATAATTAGCTCGAATAATCTGCAAAATAATATAAATGGAACAAATAATTTTGATAATCCAAGATCAAATATTCAAATTATTTTTTTGTTTTTACAGAATGAAGATACCTGAATCAAATGCATTTTGTTGCTTATTAATTACATATGTTCTAATTCAATATTTCAGCTTCAATATATATATGTTTTCGGGGAAAGACCTTTTGCTTTTGTTGTGATTATTATTTTTTTCTACTGCCGTCTGTTTTTTAGTTTTAAGACATATTGAAAGGATTTTTGACGCATGATATCCTACAGTGAAAAGGATTTCCCTATTGAACCTGCGTTAACGAACACTTATTCTTATAGGAGTAATCTCCGCATGTCCTTTTTTCTTGTTATCTTTATCTCTGAAACCATAAAAGATATCGACAATTGTTTTCCCCCAATTGTTCGTAAAATCTTAAGAATGCTAACCGAAGTGATCCAATGACATCTTATGGGAGTTATTTGTCTTTTCAAATTTAACATAGCTGATATGTTGAATTAATTCTTACACCTTAAGTCATAGAGACCTAAAGACTTTTGATATGAAGTCCATGGTTCATTAAGGGGAAATTGAGGTTAAGGTCATGTTCTTAATTATGAACTAACTTGTTATCTTTATTCTAAAGAAACCGTAACAGTTAATGATAAGAGGCTTTTGCCCAATGATTGTTTACGACATGGAGTAACTTCGTCACATTTGAGTAGAAGTGTCTCGGAGACACTTTTTAGGAGTTTTCTCCCCTAGTGTATTTGAAATCAGTATAACTCCTCAACAATACAAGTGAATGATCTGGGGTCTTTCGATTTGAGAACAACTGACCTATGACCTTGAAATTGAGGTCAAGGTCATGAACAAATCGTGAGATAATCCGATTATGTTACTCTTAATAATAGATATATGTACTAGCTGCGAATCATCGATTTTCAATCCGTTAAGATAAATGCATTTTGTGTTAATTAAGTTTAATGAATAAAGTTGCACAATTAGAATAGTTATTTATTTGGCTATTAATCATTAACATTATATGTGATTTCTTTAGATAAGCGACTTCTTGAGAGGATCAAACCTTCTCCGAAACAGATTCATACCACAGCGTTCTACGCATACATAAGTCAGCACTTAAGCATGCTGGACCCAAACCGTATTTTGGTATTTGATACAGTAAAAACGAATTTAAATGGCGGCTACAGTCCAAACGCAGGAATTTTCACAGTCCCTGTTGATGGTGTGTATGTTTTTACGTTTAGTGTGAGAGACCATAGTAGCAGCTTCTGTTCATACGAAATAATTAAAAATGCCGAAGCTATAGGTTCGGCAATAGGTGTTTTAGATGGTACGACTATGCAGCAACACGTGATTGGGACAGTCGTAATTTCGGCAAATCAAGGTGACGACATTTACGTTAGAACACACTCAAGTCTCCAACACAAAGGTGCGATACTGAGCAACGATCATGGAAGAACTTCGTTTGCGGGATGGTTGATTTCTCATTAAAGTTTTTAGCTGAAATATGGTATTTGAGTATCTGTGAAAAGTATCTGATGATAAATAGATCATTCTTATTCAAAGAGGCAGAGAGTTAATGCTTAACCTAAGCGATAATCTCCTAGCCACGTTTCACTTACGGAGCCATCATGTCGTGCATTGTTTTTCGTTTATATCATCAACATCAATAAGACAAAACTTAAATAATGAACGCTTTTAAAAGAATAACTACGGAAATGCGAGTTCTTGATACACGAACTTAACAAATCCGATAAAAAGGTGCAGCTATTGTATTGCTGTCTTCATCTCAGAGTGGAAATTGCGGCCTCAGTGCACATCAAATGGTTACGCCTACACCTCATTGCAAGTTTAAGACATCCCCTTGTAACGGTTTGTGTGGCCTTTTTTGTTAGATATCGATAACGATATATATACGGTATATTCAATCACTCAGATCCTGGGATGTGTCAACAAAGAGCAAAGAAATCTAGGTTTTGGTAATAAAGAGTTGAAACATAAAGGAAACAAGAAGTTGTCTTTGACTGTTACCATAAAGGGGACAAAATAATCAATCTTTATCAATTGCATGTTTCTGAGATTCCAAGCAAACATAATACAACTTTTAGGGCATGTGTCAACCAAAGAAGAAGAACTGGATCTTCCTTTACTGTATTGGATACTTAAATTACATAAGTGTCCTTACAAACAACGTTATATTGCTGGGCCTTCCAAGTGCTCCTATCTAAAATATTAACACCAGTCTTATCAGCAATCATAGCTGGGCTTCAAAGTTATTGTGAAACTACCTATTCTAGAGGTGGCGTAAATCCAAAATTCCAAAAATCTTTAAGAGTATCTAAGACTCTTTCATCTTGCAATAGTATTAAATCATTTGACTTTTTTACACTTTACACAAGTATTCAACATTCCAAACTAAAAGACAATTTGTAAGAGTTGGTCCTGCATTGTTTCATAAAAACGAATGACCGACGTATATACAAGTATCTTGTCTTACGGAGGGATAAATGGAACTTTTGTAAAAAAAAATCACTCTGATTCAAACACAAAATTCTCTGATACTGACATTATAAAGATGCTTGATTTTTTAATTGACAACATACTTGCTACGTTTGGAGGACATGTCTTTCAACAAACAATCGGCATTCCCATGGGAACCAACTGTGCTCCTCCTCTTGCCGACTTTTTTCTTCATTCATATGAGGTTGGCTTCATACAGAAAGAAAAGAAAAGAAGTTAGCAGTATCCTTTAACTCCACTTTCCGCTATAAAGATGATGTTCTCTGACTGAATAATTCAAAATTTGGTGACTATGTTGAATGCATCTTTCCCATCGAACTTGAGATAAAGGATACAACAGATACAGTTAAGTCTGCCTCACATCTTGACTTACATCTAGAAATTGCCAACGAGGGTCGGTTGAAAACAAAACTTTACGACAAAAGAGATGATTTCATCTTCCCAATTGTGAGCTTTCCATTTCTATGTTCTTACATGAGCAACACGCCAAGTGCCACATATAGAGCAGGATCTGATGACCCTTCCGGAGCACCTGAGATCACTTCTTGTTTTGTTTTAAGGGGGTTCGTGTTGCTCTTACTTTAGTTTTTAGTGTTGTACTTTGTGTTTTTTTAATTTTTCAATGTGTTGTATATACCGGTAACCGCCTCGTCTATCCTTTGTCATGACAACGTTTTTCTGTTTCAAATTTTTACAGTCGGTCAAGTTTCAGGGTTAAAAGATTTACTTTAACAATTGGTTTATTAATTTGGTGATGTCTTAGGGTTAGATAAGAGAAAACTACCAATCCGCTATTTTGTAATGCCTTATCACAAGATACTTATCAACATATTTTATAGGAGTTACAGGATGGGTGTCGCATGTTGAGCAGGATCTGCTTACCATTCCAGAGCACCCGAGATCACCCCCAGCTTTTGGTGGGGTTCGTGTTGCTCAGTCTTAAATGTTCTATGTTGTGTTTTGTGTACTGTTGTTTGTCTGTTGATATTTTCTTTTTTAGCCGTGGCGTTGTCAATTTATTTTCGACTTATTAGTTTGAATGTCTCTTTGGTATCTTTCGCCTCTCTTTAACAATCAACCATTCGAATTAACTTACCAACTCCGAATTGTAAATGAGTGCACAAGTGTGAATAAAAAGTAATAAAATTACAAAACTATTGTGAATAACAAACGTAGTCAACTTCTATGTATGTTCTAAAAAGTCATTGCCAATGTATACGGTTAGTTTTGAAATTCTTTATAAAAAATTAAAATATCACTGTGGATATAACACTTTAAAATTAAATGCCATCTGGCACGCTCGAATCCGAATATTTGAAAGTCAAGGATGTATAAATACCAAAACATGTGAGGAGCTATATGTAACAAAACGGACCTAAATGTAATAGACAAATCCATCTAAGTTCAACCTTGCCTGAGGGAGTTCAAACCATCCTCATGGGCAAATATTGGCGGTTGACTATCATAGTCCCGACTTGGTAAAGCCACTTTCAAAAGAAATGTGATCAATTGGACCAGGTTTTACAGTGCATCACATTCTCACCTGTATTATAGTCATAAATATGATTTCAGTTCATATTAAAAGACATTATTGCTATTTAGGAATCTGCGACACTTGAGCTATTGATGTCATACACCATTGTTTTGGTTTTTTTTTTGTGGCGTCAGACATTTTTTCTTGTGATGTAAGTATTTTACGGGAACGTCTGTAATGTCCATTACTGATGGATATATAACTATAAAGTGTATTATTACATGACCAGCAACAACAATGCATCATTCTACAAATTAAAGACTAACGATACATTCCTGAAAACAAAAGAAACAATGCTTATTATCTGACAATAAAGCAATAATATCGGTTGTACGATTTTATTCACCATTTGCAAAAATACTTTTGACAGCCATTTTACAGTATGATGTCATATCAGATCAAAGTACATTCAAACGTTAGGCCAGTGACATCCTGGTTTGGCCAATTTTGCAAAACCTACACGTACGTTCTTGTGAATATGCATAAAAAATAGTCTTTCTTTCAATCAACCATAAGACTACCGAACGACTTACTAGCTGAGGTTACAAGAACGGCTTCCCAACAACGCTCCAGTGAATGTGTATATGTATTTTAATTGATAAGTAGGTCTAAACAAGTGACAACTCTACGACAGATCCATCCATTGGATCAACAGTGAAGGTGATACACGGCTGAAAACACATATTATATTCATAACTACTCTAAATATCAGCCCAACAATGTTAAATCTACGGAAGCTGATATTTAGATTAGTTATGTATTTTAATTGTACACACTCCGGTTTGTATTTTAATTTGGTTTTTGTATGCTGTTTATCGGTGAGCATGCAGCATCAAGCCTGCTACATGCGTCAGAGACGTAATAAAGGTAACCTATAAGAAGATAAGGTGTAATACATATTTGTATGTAAAAACATTTTATAACCCCGCAAAAATAAAAATAAAATTCATAATCATAATGGAAGTGGTTGTGTATTTATAGATCCCAAACAACCAACCCTTGGTATAAGTGGTTGTGCGCGGACACTACATCGTAGTCCTGTGTGACCTGGTTTACATTTATAAATCCGACACAGAAATAGTTATATTCTTGATAAAAACAGTTATCATAGTCATTACACATTTTTTAAAACGATTCATACTATTATATTGTTGACAATTTCTTGAATATTTTGCGGTTTGCGGATATATAATGAATGGAGAACAGTCCTGTACCTTTAATCTGAAGAACACATATCTTTGGCGTAGACTTTTTAGTGATTATGACTGAGGTCGATTCTTTCGAAACATTTGTAAAATGTGCAACACTACCCATGAATATTGATATCGATATTTCCAAATATTTTTAGCTTTAGAAAATGAATAATATTGAGGACTTACATCTCTAATAAAAATTATGATAAAATGTTTGATTACAGAATTGAATGACATAATTGTCTTATAATGATAACCTCTTTGTTCAATAACAAAGATTAATTCTATTTTAATCAAGTTACGTTGTCTTTGACTTGCCTATTTTAGACCTATCTTACATTTGCATCAACAAAAAATGTTTGGTGGAATGTCTTTGGTAGTTTTTCTGCTGTTCTTTGTTAGTTATTCCAATGCGTCAATGGAGGAACTGGAGACTCGGATGAATAGAAAATTTCAAAACATGGAAAGAAAATTGCGGGACCAGAATAAACGTATCCAAAAACTGGAACAAATTGTGACGAGTCATACAATTGAGATAAATGAGCTAAATGGTGAATTGGCTCACGTTAAAACGGAGAATTCGGACAAGCAGGAGCAGATTTCTATTTTAAAGAAAATAGTATTGAAAAGTTTTCGTGAACAGTCAAAAAGAGAAGAAGATCCTAAAGTGCATGATAATCTGGTTCATCTTGATAAAAGTAAGTGAAATTAATTTACAATTATAAGTAAGCTTGCCTTCTAAAGCACTAGAACTAGAGAGGCGAACGATACGAAATGGACATTCAAAATCCTAAGTCGTCTAAAATGAACTAACAACGCCATGGCAAAAAACAAAAAACGAGCAAAAAAACAAACAATAGTACACACAACACAACATAGAAAACTAAAGACTGAGCAATACAAACCCCACCAAAATCTGGGAATGATCTCAGGTGCTCCGGAAGGGTACGAAGATCCTATTCCACAATTAGGCACCCGTCGTGTTGCTCGTGTTAGTATAAAACTGGTGATAAGTTGAATTCGGTAGGTCACATTCGACAAAAAGAGAACATGAATGTGGTTACGACAATTGGGAAATATATGTCGTCATCTGTGAAACGGTCAACCAAACTCGTGATAGTGTCCGTAAAAATTTTCGAAGGGAACTACATCTCTTAGAACTCTTGAAAATCAAGCACGGCAGTAGTTACATATTAATTTTGTGTGTTAATTTACGTTTTTTGATTGAGTCAAGCCTTCCAATTGATATTTTATAGTGTGTCTTTCTATGTTGTGATGTTATACTATTGTTTCAGGAAAAGGGAGAAGGTTTGGTACCATTAAAACGTTTATTCCCGCTGCAAATGTTTGCATCTGTCCTTAGTCAGGAATCTGATGTACAGTAGTTGTCGTCTGTTTATGTAGTTCATACGTGTTTCTCGTTTCTCGTTTTTATATAGATTAGACCGTTGGTTTTCCCGTTTGAATGGTTTTACACTAGTAATTTTTAGGGCCCTTTATAGCTTGCTGTTCGGAGTGATTCATTCCTCTGTGTTGAAGGCCGTACCTTGACCTATAATGGTTTACTTTTATAAATTGTTACTTGGATGGAGAGTTGTCTCATTGGCACTCATACCACATCTTCCTATATCTATTTGTGATTTTTCAGATAAGCGACTTCTTGAGGGTATCCAACCTTCTCCGATCCCTGTTCATGCCACAGCGTTCTACGCATACATGAATCAGACATTAACAACGCAGGACCAAAACCGTATTCTAATATTTGATACAGTAAAAACAAACATTAATGACGGCTACAGTCCAAACACAGGAATTTTCAGAGTCCATTTTGATGGTGTGTATGGTTTTACGTTTAGTGTAAGGGAAGACGGCAGTAGCTATGGTTCATACGAAATAATCAAAAACACCGAAGCTGTAGGTTCTGTGATAGGTCTTGTAGAGGGTACCAGTATTCAGCAACAAGTGATTGGGACAGTCGTAATATCGGCAAGTCAGGGTGACGACATTTTCGTTAGAACACACTCAAGTCTGCAACACCATGGTGCGATACTGAGCAACACTCATGGAAGATCTATGTTTGCTGGATGGTTTATATCAAATTAAAGTATTTAACTTAAAGATGGTGTTAGAGTATTATTAAAAAGAACCTGGGGTAATAAGTAGATTATTTTTATTCATTAATGCGGAAAGTGAAGGCGTAACCTATTCGATATATCGATCCACGTTTCACTTACAAAGCCACCATGTTTTGCATTGTCCTTTTGTTTATCTCAACAAGAAGATATATGAAGTCAACATCAATTAGACAAAAATCCAATAATGAACGACTTAGAAATGAATAAGAACGGAAAAAAATACGAATTGGTGATATACTTACTTGAAAAATCCGAAAACAAAGGAGCAGAGATTGTATTGTTGTTCTTCGTCTCAGAATCGCATCGGGACCTCAGTACATACCAAAAGGTTAAACCAACAGAATTAACTTCGACTTTTACCAAGAAATAGGGCAAAGGAACAAATTGTAGGTTTCTAAAATTTATCTTTTGTAACAATACCAATTAAAACTCATTAAACTTTTAGTATAATAGTTGATGGTATATTCGAGTATTCCCTACTGCATATTTACTCTTTGTGTCTCCAAAACATGAACTTGAGAATTTCTTAAATTGGTAGAAAAGGGACCTTTTGTCATCTACAACTTTCTTGAGATAGAGCACAAATGTTCTCATTATGAGCCACGTTAAGTCTGCTGCACATCTACGTTGTATGGTCGTCATCCGGGTCACAAGGTGATTTTCTGGAATAAAACCCGATTTCATTTTTATACGCCCGTCTTTAAAGACGGGACGCACTATGGTATACTGTTGTCCATTCATCCGTCCGTCGTCAACACTTCGGATTTTAACTCAAAAACGCTTTCACAATGTTTATATCTATTGACGTAAGCTCCCTTTCGGTTTTTATAAATATAAGATTTTACCGAGATTTGGGATTATATTCATAAAAAAATGGGGGAAGTTCCAGTTCACTGACTATAACTTTAAAATGCTTTGATCAAATTTCATGTAATTTTGGTGAATTGTTTATATATATTGACATAAGTTCCCTTTCGATTTTTAAAAATTTCTGATTATACGCTTTGGAGTATTGGGACTTTATTCGTAAAAAAAGGGGAATTTTCCAGTTTTTGGACAATAACTCAAAAACGCTTTGAGTAGTTATCATGAAACTTTCGTGACTTGTTTATATCTATTGTAATAAGCTCCTGTTCGTTCGTTTGGTTTTTTTTTGTTTGTTTTTTTTTTATATAAATTTCTGATATGACATTGCGGAGTTATGGAACTAAATTCGTTGAAATATCGTCGAAAATCTTTTTTTGGGGGTGTTCTATTTGAGCAGTGCTCGCAGTATTTCTTGTTATCATATAAATTCATTTGATGCATAAAGACGAGCTAAAAGGGCGACGGACGTATCATGCGCTCATGGCGCAGCTCTTTATTAAAAACGTTTTGACCTTAAAGTTTGTGATTTCCGAAATATCTATATTTATCACTGCGCCGCAGCATACTTTTAAAACCTTTTTACCGCCTGATGTTGTTTGAAGAATACAATGGACATCACAGTTGGATCAGAAAAGTTAGTATGTCATATGATATCAGGGTCATTTCAAATATGGTCCACCGACATCATAATTCATCACTAGTTTCGTCACGCGAAGAAATCAACTGTATAATTATCAAGCGTGTAATCATATTTTATGTTCGTCAAAACAGGGACAGAAATTAATATCGATGTTTTTCATTACGATGAGCACTGAAATAAACATCGTCTTCCGGCACAAAACTGACAAATAAATAAATTTCTATACACATCATAAGGAGGTAAATCATCGACAACATATGCTTAGTTGATTTAATAATTTGTAACGGAGACATTCAGATGTTCACAGGGTTACCGCTTGGTTCACAATTGCTTGACAGGTATCAGACTTTTACATTAAAAAAATGAAATTGAGTCTGTATTTGACTTACAAATGCGTCAAATGTAGCAATGGTTTAACGTCAAATGATAAAACTAATCCAGTTGAAACATAGATAAACGTTCATCATTCGGTTTATCGAGCACAAGTTTACAACATAGGTCAGTCCGTAAAGAGTGCTTTTTTAAAGACCATGTTGGAAGGAAGTAATGCTGTGTTTAATACATCAATTTTAATAATTAATAGCTAAATTTATGTCTATCAAAAATGCTAATAGTTCCTATTTCAGCGCATTACAGAAATTCCAGGTTTGGGACATCGTCAAGGCAAAAGGGGTATTCCAGAATGATTTCAATCTTGCCCGTTTTCTAGAAAGCCTAAAACATAAAATTTGAATTTCTTTGATTCCTGGATAATAAATTCCTGGTCATTTAACTTTTTAATTGCAGAAAGTATTTTAGTGTTTTTTAAGTATCTGTTTATGAATATTTTTCTTTTAAATCTGTAATCAACACACATTACTCGGATACGGACAAATTTTACATGTGGTCAAATGGAAAATAACACCAACGGACATGGGTCTCGATTAACAGAATGACGCAAAAGAGATAATGATACTTAACAGATACGCTAAAAGTCACAATTATGTAAAGTCTGTAAGATAAAAAGACATACATGAACAGCAAAATTATCTCAAGTCATTTGTGTTAGATTTGATCGACGTACAACATTGTGGATACAAATTTTGACATTTTTTTAAGTTTTACAAATAAATAAGCAGGTTTTAGTTAACAGACAAAAATATCATTCTTAATTGATTTAAATTATGAGCTTTTCAAAGATCCCTAAATCGTGATCAAATCAAGACATATGTTAGTTTTATTGTTGGTAGTAAAATAGCGAAAAGCGTCTGACCATAGGTCATGAGAGGTCTTCATAAAACACTGACAGTGCGTGAAAAATGAAAATTAATCAGATAGATATGTTTAATCTTACCGACGGTGCTCATCTTGTATATTGACATATTTTTTATTTGTGCTTTTATCGAGATTGAAGAAGACCGATAAGACGTGGAAATTAAGTGATGCCCAGAAGCCTCTGTCTTTATGACCTAACAAACGCGAAGTTCATTGCTTGTTCATTTGTTGTAATTAGACAAGTGGATTTTGATTTAAAAAATCAGTTTTCCGCTCGCCTGGCTTTGATTGTACATGTCTAGCATCATTATCTCGAACATCAGTTATTTTTGCAAGATAGTTTTGTTACAAAACAATTAATGATAAAATTATTAGAGATTTGATAAACTCAATTTTTTATTATGTAAAAAAAAAATAATCTTGTTAAGTCATTTGTAAGATATCTTGCTGTATTTCACATTTATTCAAATGAATCAAATGAATTAAAAATTTATATATAAGAGGTTGTGAAAAAGAGCATAGCTTTATTTGTAAGGATCTCGGATTCTCTCAGCGTAATGCAAGGTAGTAAGATCATACGGGATTAACACATGCACTGTCAGGCACTTGTCCCTGAAAAATTACCTTTATATACCTTAATATAACAAGGGGGTTTGTTCAGAGACAAGTGCATGGCTGGATTTATTAAGCCGAGAAAATCCAGGTTTAAGCCGGTTGATAGATTTAAATTAATTGATACAAGTGGTTAAACTGTGCCATATGTGTGTGATTATATTTTTTCTGTTTCGTTGACTTTATTCATATAAATTAGAATAAATATATTTCTATATCAAAGCTTTGGCATAATATACTGTGAAATGAAAAGTAGATATAACACCTTTATATGGGTTAAACTTCGATATTCTAGTATCAAACCTGTGATACCATTGATGATTCCATCTATAAAACTTCGGACAAACAGTAACAGATAATACTTCAATTTTTTTAAACCAATTTTTGTTGACTATCTAAGACACTGGCATTTTCACTTTATATATTGTATTGACTGTACATTTGATAATAATACTACTGTTTGACCTTAATATTAATGCCAAAAAGCAATTATTTAGTGTTGTCATTTCTTGTTTCTTCTGAAACAAGCTGTATATTTTTCAATCAGTCATTGCAAGTGGCTCTCAAGAGCATAAATAGCTCACCTGGCAAAACTATGTCATTTTGATATGTCATTTTACTTTAATGAAATCAGTTATGTTTAAAGATTACTCCTATAAGGGGTCAATTGATGATTTCAGTCAAATTGACTTATTTGTTAGATCTAATTTTGCTGACCATGCTCGCTATGTAAAGTTTCTCTCTGTTTATAATGATTTCTGAACAAATAGGTAAACTCATTTTTCTAGGAAGGTAACTCTTAAAAGGGTTCAATTGACAATTATTGTTATGTTGTCTTATTTGTAGATCTACATTTGCTGAATATGTTTGTCAAAACAATTTCTCGATATCTATTTAGTTTCTGCAAAAACACATGAAATGGATACAGAACATCATAAAATGACAATAACTCATATAAAGGGTCAATTGACGATTTCGTCAATGGAAATAATTTGTAGATCTTATTTTGCTGATCAGTATACTAATTAAGGTAGACTAACTGCCTATCGCCATCTTAGATTGTACAATAACAGTACATAATCGGTCTAGTTCTTTGCTTAAATCTGTAAGCTTTGAGACAGATTTGGGATTAATGTTTTTTTAAGACTGTTTATCTAAATAAAGACAAAATTGTGATTTATTGCATTATTCAGACTGTTTTAACAAACATCAAATATATGATTGTGTTTGGTCCGACCGTGCAAGACTCTCATGGGTAGTCAAGGTCGTAAAAAAAAACCCTCGTCGTGTTTGATTCAATTTGTTTTAACTTAGTCAAATAAGGGAAGATAACTCGTATAGTAAAATGTTTATGAAGGAATGTAAATGAAATTTTCATTTTTTACTTATAGAAAGAAAACAAGTTCGGCGACACCAATTGTCTTTTTCCTTTCTTATACTATATTGTAAAACATCTTTTCTCACATTTTATTTAAAATTCTATCTCATAGATTTTTTTTTATTCGCAAAAAGTAGTTTTTTTCCATGAATAATCTATGCAAAATTGGGCAGTTTTGTATGACTTGTAGCTTGAAAAATAGCGCGTTGACACATACTTATACTTTTGAAAAAAGCATGGTAAAATCAACCTTTTGGCGTAGTATAAAAAAATTCTATCTAAGGAAATATATACTGATTCAACTTAAAGTTGGTTTATGTCTATTATAGTTTTAGAAAAAAATGCAAAAAGGTTTAAATCGTCATTTAAAGGGAATCACACCTATAAGGGGTCAATTGACGATTTCTGTCAGGTTGACTTATTTGTAGATCTTAATGTTCAGATCTGGTAATTTTTGCTGAAAATGTTTCGATATGTTATAGTTTTCTAAAACTTCGAAAATTGCCGAAAATTGACATTTAAGTGCCAGTCTTTGTAAGAATCAGGCAATTTTGAAAAAAAATAAAACAAAACATGGACGAAAAAAAAAACATCGACCTTACCATCCTATTTTGGAGTTACCCTCATCCTGAGTTAGAAATGGTAGGTCTTTCATTTCTGCGTGTCTGGTAATTCGAGTAAATCTTTAGATAACTTTTGGTTAGAATGATAGTAATATACGGAGTTAGCTCCCCTAAATTGTTAATTTCTAGTGCATTTCAACCAAATTATATCTTGAATTGCCAGAACAGGAAAAGGAAACGAATGTTATATTTGTGCACCATTATACATTTTGAACATAAATTAATGTCAACTTGAGTGGGTTTTTGTTTGTCATGTTTTCATCACTGCCTGATTCTTAGGCAGATTGGCACTTAAGGGCTATAACTCCAAGATGGGTTGTCTGGTTGTGATTTTTCTGACTTTTTCATTAGAGATAGACCTTATCCTGCTAGTCATTTTTAGTCGCGTCAATTTTGCTCTAAGTCCTTTAGTTAACAAGATATAAGCCAAAGGCTGCATTTTATCCCCAATATTCTTTTTTTAGCAACAGTTGCCATGTTTGTTGATGAATCAAATCCACATATATATTTTTTAAACAAGATTCTCCAAGGAACATTCAGGTAAAGTTTGTTTACATTTGGGTCAGTAATTTCAGGAGATTTAAAAAAAAGTTATAGACAAATGACACACGGACAGACTGACAACTGAAGCTGGCAAAAACTCACGTGACCTTTCGGGCCAGGTGAGCTGAAAATGGATGCAAACACAAATATAAATGCAGATGGTCATTTAATATTGTATATTTCATGTGCAGTTTGTCATGTTGAAAAATAGACTATAACCATATTGGTTGTATTCCCTCCAAGCTCAAGGTAATTTGATATCAATAAAATTTCGTACATGGCTGAAACTTGTGTCTTGCCTGTGACTGCTGCTATCAGTATTAAAAGAGTTGTTTTAACGGTTAAAAAACAAAATCCATTTATCAGTAAAATACAAAAGGGTTTGCGTGTTAAAAGTTCAAAATTGTACACAGGGTGCCATCTCTTGATTATGAAATGAACTGTCCAACCAAACATTGCTAGTCGTCTAGATGTTACTGTTGTTCTATAGCTAATTGTTGAAGAACTTTATATACTTACGAAATAAAGATCAGCAATGTTTTTTATTTGTAAATATTAATATGATAACTTGGATAAGTTGTCTCAGGTGCATTAACTTCATGTTGTTTTCTTCATTTAAATTAGTATCTAGTAATTCCATCTTGATTTTCAATTTTTCAAGGCATAAACAACACTTAAGGATGATTGAGACTAATTTTTTTTTAGATATGAAGATTGTATTTAGCATAATATATAATTAACTAAAGGCTATATCTAAGCTACTGTGCACATTGCAGACCGAGTTTTACTGTGTGTATTGGTGTGTGTTTGTTTATTCTACATTGGCTAGAGGTATAGGGGGAGAGTGGAAATCTCGCAAAACATGTTTAACACTGCCACATTTATGCGCCTGTCCCATGCAGGAACCTCTAGCCTTTGTTAGTCTTGTGTGTTTTTTAATTTTGGTTCATTTATGTTTTGGAGTTTAGTGTGGTGTCCATTTCGCTGAACTAGTATACATTATTGTTAAGGGGCCAGCTGAAACCCAACTCCGGGGATGGGATTTTCTCACTGCGTTGAAGACCCATTGGTGGCCATGGGCTGTTTTCTGCTCTTTGGTTGTGTTGTTGTCTCTTTTGACACATTCCCGTTTCCATTCTCAATACTTGTTATTCCAGTTTTCAAAAAGAATGTGGTATTTTGGCAGTTGAAAGACTATTGACATGTTATATGACAAAAGGCTGATTGCTGCTCAATAAATTCAATACCTTAGCGAAAGACTAGTAGTTCTACTTGGTTGTTTCACGAACAGTAACTTTACAATGTAGTTACCGGTACATGAAAACTATGAATAACAAACAAAATTTTATAAAAATCTAATTTTTATTTCTTTTCCAATAAATAATTATATGACAACAATAACTTTAATGATTTAGAGCTCTAACATGGGGTTTTAGGCCTAATAAAACAAATTCCTTGATTCTCATCCCCCCAGACCTTATATTTATTATTTAATGAATTAGAGCTCTAACACGGTTTTTTAGGCCTGATAAAACAAATTCCTTGATTCTCATCCCCCCAGACCTTATATTTATTATTTAATGAATTAGAGCTATAGCGTGGGTTTTAGGCCTAATAAAACAAATTCCTTGATTCTCATCCCCCCAGACCTTATATTTATTATTTAATGAATTAGAGCTCTAACATGGGTTTTTAGGCCTGATAAAACAAATTCCTTGATTCTCATCCCCCAGACCTTATATTTATTATTTAATGAATTAGAGCTATAGCGTAGGTTTTTAGGCCTGATAAAACAAATTCCTTGATTCTCATCCCCCCAGACCTTATATTTATTATTAAATGAATTAGAGGTATAGCGTGGGTTTTTAGGCCTGATAAAACAAATTCCTTGATTCTCATCCCCCCAGACCTTATATTTATTATTTAATGAATTAGAGGTATAGCGTGGGTTTTTAGGCCTGATAAAACAAATTCCTTGATTCTCATCCCCCCAGACCTTATATTTATTATTTAATGAATTAGAGCTATAGCGTGGGTTTTTAGGCCTGATAAAACAAATTCCTTGATTCTCATCCCCCCAGACCTTATATTTATTATTTAATGAATTAGAGCTATAGCGTGGGTTTTTAGGCCTGATAAAACAAATTCCTTGATTCTCATCCCCCCAGACCTTATATTTATTATTTAATGAATTAGAGGTATAGCGTGGGTTTTTAGGCCTGATAAAACAAATTCCTTGATTCTCATCCCCCCAGACCTTATATCTATTATTTAATGAATTAGAGCTATAGCGTGGGTTTTTAGGCCTGATAAAACAAATTCCTTGATTCTCATCCCCCCAGACCTTATATTTATTATTTAATGAATTAGAGGTATAGCGTGGGTTTTTAGGCCTGATAAAACAAATTCCTTGATTCTCATCCCCCCAGACCTTATATTTATTATTTAATGAAGTAGAGGTATAGCGTGGGTTTTTAGGCCTGATAAAACAAATTCCTTGATTCTCATCCCCCCAGACCTTATATTTATTATTTAATGAATTAGAGCTATAGCGTGGGTTTTTAGGCCTGATAAAACAAATTCCTTGATTCTCATCCCCCCTAGACCTTATATTTATTATTTAATGAATTAGAGGTATAGCGTGGGTTTTTAGGCCTAATAAAACAAATTCCTTGATTCTCATCCCCCCAGACCTTATATTTATTATTTAATGAATTAGAGCTCTAACACGGTTTTTTAGGCCTGATAAAACAAATTCCTTGATTCTCATCCCCCCAGACCTTATATTTATTATTTAATGAATTAGAGCTATAGCGTGGGTTTTAGGCCTAATAAAACAAATTCCTTGATTCTCATCCCCCCAGACCTTATATTTATTATTTAATGAATTAGAGCTCTAACATGGGTTTTTAGGCCTGATAAAACAAATTCCTTGATTCTCATCCCCCAGACCTTATATTTATTATTTAATGAATTAGAGCTATAGCGTAGGTTTTTAGGCCTGATAAAACAAATTCCTTGATTCTCATCCCCCCAGACCTTATATTTATTATTAAATGAATTAGAGGTATAGCGTGGGTTTTTAGGCCTGATAAAACAAATTCCTTGATTCTCATCCCCCCAGACCTTATATTTATTATTTAATGAATTAGAGGTATAGCGTGGGTTTTTAGGCCTGATAAAACAAATTCCTTGATTCTCATCCCCCCAGACCTTATATTTATTATTTAATGAATTAGAGCTATAGCGTGGGTTTTTAGGCCTGATAAAACAAATTCCTTGATTCTCATCCCCCCAGACCTTATATTTATTATTTAATGAATTAGAGCTATAGCGTGGGTTTTTAGGCCTGATAAAACAAATTCCTTGATTCTCATCCCCCCAGACCTTATATTTATTATTTAATGAATTAGAGCTATAGCGTGGGTTTTTAGGCCTGATAAAACAAATTCCTTGATTCTCATCCCCCCAGACCTTATATCTATTATTTAATGAATTAGAGCTATAGCGTGGGTTTTTAGGCCTGATAAAACAAATTCCTTGATTCTCATCCCCCCAGACCTTATATTTATTATTTAATGAATTAGAGGTATAGCGTGGGTTTTTAGGCCTGATAAAACAAATTCCTTGATTCTCATCCCCCCAGACCTTATATTTATTATTTAATGAAGTAGAGGTATAGCGTGGGTTTTTAGGCCTGATAAAACAAATTCCTTGATTCTCATCCCCCCAGACCTTATATTTATTATTTAATGAATTAGAGCTATAGCGTGGGTTTTTAGGCCTGATAAAACAAATTCCTTGATTCTCATCCCCCCTAGACCTTATATTTATTATTTAATGAATTAGAGGTATAGCGTGGGTTTTTAGGCCTAATAAAACAAATTCCTTGATTCTCATCCCCCCAGACCTTATATTTATTATTTAATGAATTAGAGCTCTAACACGGTTTTTTAGGCCTGATAAAACAAATTCCTTGATTCTCATCCCCCCAGACCTTATATTTATTATTTAATGAATTAGAGCTATAGCGTGGGTTTTAGGCCTAATAAAACAAATTCCTTGATTCTCATCCCCCCAGACCTTATATTTATTATTTAATGAATTAGAGCTCTAACATGGGTTTTTAGGCCTGATAAAACAAATTCCTTGATTCTCATCCCCCAGACCTTATATTTATTATTTAATGAATTAGAGCTATAGCGTAGGTTTTTAGGCCTGATAAAACAAATTCCTTGATTCTCATCCCCCCAGACCTTATATTTATTATTAAATGAATTAGAGGTATAGCGTGGGTTTTTAGGCCTGATAAAACAAATTCCTTGATTCTCATCCCCCCAGACCTTATATTTATTATTTAATGAATTAGAGGTATAGCGTGGGTTTTTAGGCCTGATAAAACAAATTCCTTGATTCTCATCCCCCCAGACCTTATATTTATTATTTAATGAATTAGAGCTATAGCGTGGGTTTTTAGGCCTGATAAAACAAATTCCTTGATTCTCATCCCCCCAGACCTTATATTTATTATTTAATGAATTAGAGCTATAGCGTGGGTTTTTAGGCCTGATAAAACAAATTCCTTGATTCTCATCCCCCCAGACCTTATATTTATTATTTAATGAATTAGAGCTATAGCGTGGGTTTTTAGGCCTGATAAAACAAATTCCTTGATTCTCATCCCCCCAGACCTTATATCTATTATTTAATGAATTAGAGCTATAGCGTGGGTTTTTAGGCCTGATAAAACAAATTCCTTGATTCTCATCCCCCCAGACCTTATATTTATTATTTAATGAATTAGAGGTATAGCGTGGGTTTTTAGGCCTGATAAAACAAATTCCTTGATTCTCATCCCCCCAGACCTTATATTTATTATTTAATGAATTAGAGGTATAGCGTGGGTTTTTAGGCCTGATAAAACAAATTCCTTGATTCTCATCCCCCCAGACCTTATATTTATTATTTAATGAATTAGAGCTATAGCGTGGGTTTTTAGGCCTGATAAAACAAATTCCTTGATTCTCATCCCCCCTAGACCTTATATTTATTATTTAATGAATTAGAGGTATAGCGTGGGTTTTTAGGCCTGATAAAACAAATTCCTTGATTCTCATCCCCCCAGACCTTATATTTATTATTTAATGAATTAGAGCTATAGCGTGGGTTTTTAGGCCTGATAAAACAAATTCCTTGATTCTCATCCCCCCAGACCTTATATCTATTATTTAATGAATTAGAGCTATAGCGTGGGTTTTTAGGCCTGATAAAACAAATTCCTTGATTCTCATCCCCCCAGACCTTATATTTATTATTTAATGAATTAGAGGTATAGCATGGGTTTTTAGGCCTGATAAAACAAATTCCTTGATTCTCATCCCCCCAGACCTTATATTTATTATTTAATGAATTAGAGCTATAGCGTGGGTTTTTAGGCCTGATAAAACAAATTCCTTGATTCTCATCCCCCCAGACCTTATATTTATTATTTAATGAATTAGAGCTATAGCTTGGGTTTTTAGGCCTGATAAAACAAATTCCTTGATTCTCATCCCTAATAGACCTTAATGTATTAATTGTATTAATTGAAATTCTCATTCCAGACACTGTCACAACTTGTTATCCTATGGTGTGGTTTAAAAATCATCAATTTATGTCAAAACTGTTAATAGAGTTATCACCTATTTGAACATTACTCATATGCAGCTTGTATGGCAAATTTATTCCCATAGTGAGTGTACAGAAATATAATGCTTATAAAATCAGTAAAGTTAACTGTTAAACAGTGTGAAACATGAAGTGTTGACTGGGATGAAGGGCAAGAAATTTGGACTTCCACTGGAAATGATTCTTTGTTAGATAAGGGCAGACATTTTTCCTTGCACAAAGAAACCTATGGACACTCAAGAGTTGTTGCAGTTGTTTGTAATATACAGTATTGCATTCTTCCAATAAAGGTCTTGGATTTAACAAACATCCCCATTCCAATCGAATGCAACTGTAAATGAGTTGACCAATATCTGTGGTATTTGTTTGGGTTTAAATGACTCTTTAGAAAATCCCACTCATATTTCTTACTCAATTTCCATGAGTGGTTGATCTAAGGAAAAAGTGCCTTTAACTTCTCCATCAGTGTTTTTTTTTCAAATCTTACTTAACAATCTGAACTCAAAATGTACAACAAAGGGGTAGCTGCTTTAAATAGCCCCAGTGACAAGTCAATTATTTGAAGAAAATAAAATGTTGATTTGATGAATAAACATGTGAGAAAGTGAAATACTGCAAATTCAGAAATTATTGCGAATATTGTGACTGGGTTGGTATTGCAATAATAAGAACTTGCATGGTGAAATCTGACATATAATTTGTAGGCAGCTTTTCCTGTATTCGAAATAATTATTCTAATTTTGGTCTGTCATGTTGAAATCGCAATAATAAATGCACACAATAATTTCTGTATTTACAGTAGAATGATTTTTGAAGAACTTTTCTAATGAAACGTTGAAATATACTCCCCTAAGTGGCCAAAAATAGATAATTGTGAAATTAGTTAAAAAAAAGTCGCATATATATATTGTAATCAATTCAGGCCTATGAAACATAGAGCACAGGGTTCAACTAACTAAATATTCAAGACATATATACCGGGTAAAGTTATTCGTTATAACAAATTCATAACTATAAAAGATCTTGTCGACTATGTGCTTCCTTTCCTGAAACCACAGTAAATTGGCTTATTTACTTTGGTTTTGTTGAAAAATTGAACTTGATGCTATCTGTGACATCATAAAAAGAATGCCAATAGGTAAATTATCAAAAATGAACATAGTTTCTATCCAGTCATTGTTTTAATTATAATTTATTGTGCTATTAAATAGGCATTAATATTAATTTGAAATTTTAGCTAGAAATGGGGGCCATTTTGGAGCTTTATAGCGCCTTCTCCTTTAATACTAAATTAGCATTTCTATTCAACATTAAAAATGTTTCAAACAAAAGTTATTTTGCTCCATACTGATTCATTTATTATCTGTCAACTAAATGGACCTCCTTCAATTGTGTTAATGGCTTAACTTCCATTGACCATTAAAAAACTTTATACAAGGAAGTTCGCCTATGCAAATAAATTTTATATTTACATTTTGAAACAATGTGTAGTTTTATTTACATGTATATGAAGGAAAACTGTTGTACATAAATAGTAATAACAACCTTTGATTTAGTGACCAATACACAAATAAAATACACACACGATTTTAACATTTGGAAAGATGAGAAATATATTACATTTATATTTCATAACAATTAAACAACAGATAAAAATTTTCATGGTGAAATAGCACTTTAAAAACAAAACAAAACAACATTACCGGTATAAAGTTTAACAATGAAAACACATGGTATACATGATAAAATTGACCTTGTTTAAACATGTTAAAGTTATCTTAAAACCACTTCAAGTTGTTAGTTACTGCAGGAATTGAATATACTTTTATATTGTATCATAATCTGTATCAAAGTTATATTTTTCTCAAATGTATAAGATCTATATGGCTGCAAATACTTTTTTTTTTAAATCTGACAAAACAAATGCCACTTTCTTCATTAATTTTAAATGAAGTAAAATACAACACAGTTTTAACTTAATGCTTATTTGATCAAAGTCAAGATCTGTTAAAAAGTTTATTTTTAACAACAGCTGTAAAATGCAATAATGTTGCCAAATTATCAAATTATCAAAACTACCACTACAAAAGTCAATAAAATGCTCCGCAGGGCGCAGCTTGATACGACCGCAGAGGTCGAACCCTGAACAGTTGGGGGAAGTATGGACACAACATTCAAGCTTGATACAGCTTTGGATTTGGATTGTGATTAAATATTTGACACAGCATAGGTTTCTAACACAGATTGAATGTGGTCTAAGAACTTAAAAATTTTAAATTGGACATTCACCTATTATGGTCTAATATCCAAAATCTAAATACATGGTTAGATTCAGCATATCAAAGAACCCCAAGAATTCAATTTTTGATGAAATCAAACAAAGTTTAATTTTGGACCCTTTTGACCTCAATGTGGACAAAGTTGATAACGGGGCCCAAAAATCAAAAATCTAAATACATGGTTAGATTCAGCATATCAAAGAACCCCATATATTCAATTTTTGTTGAAATCAAACAAAGTTTAATTTTGGACCCCGATTTGGACCAACTTGAAAACTGGGCCCATAATCAAAAATCCAAATACATGTTTAGATTCAGCATATCAAAGAACCCTAAGAATTCAATTTTTGTTAAAATCAAACTAAGTTTAATTTTGGACCCTTTGGACCTTAATGTAGACCAATTTGAAAACGGAACCAAAAATTAAGAATCTTAATACACGGTTAGATTCGGCATATCAAAGAACCCCAATAATTCAATTTTTGATGAAATCAAACAAAGTTTAATTTTGGACCCTTTTGACCTCAATGTGGACAAAGTTGATAACGGGGCCCAAAAATCAAAAATCTAAATACATGGTTAGATTCAGCATATCAAAGAACCCCATATATTCAATTTTTGTTGAAATCAAACAAAGTTTAATTTTGGACCCCGATTTGGACCAACTTGAAAACTGGGCCCATAATCAAAAATCTAAATACATGTTTAGATTCAGCATATCAAAGAACCCTAAGAATTCAATTTTTGTTAAAATCAAACTAAGTTTAATTTTGGACCCTTTGGACCTTAATGTAGACCAATTTGAAAACGGAACCAAAATTTAAGAATCTAAATACACAGTTAGATTCGGCATATCAAAGAACCCCAATAATTCAATTTTTGATGAAATCAAACAAAGTTTAATTTTGGACCCTTTGGACCTCAATGTGGACCAATTTAAAAACGGGGCCCAAAATCCAAAAACTAAATACACGGTTAGATTCAGCATATTAAATAACCCCATGAAATCAAGAATAAAACCCCATTGAAATTGGTCAAGAAATAAGCAATTTATAGGAAGTATTTTCTTTTGCACAATCCTGTGCTATTAAATATTTCTTGCTATTGCGCAATACTGTACAATTGACAATTTCTTGCTATTGCGCAATATTGTGCTATTGGATATTTCTTGCTATTGCGCAATACTGTGCAATTGAAGATTTCTTGCTATTGCGCAATACTGTGCAATTGAAGATTTCTTGCTATTGTGCAATACTGTGCAATTGAAAATTTCTTGCTATTGCACAATACTTATTATATAATAATTTACACATCCTGTTTGGTGTGTATCTCCTACCATATCATTATTATTTGATTTTAAATATAAATCAGAAATAACCAACTTAAAATGGAAAATTTTAAAAGAAACAAAAAAGGAAAAAAAGAAAAAAAAGGAAAAAAAAATAAATCCCCCCCCCAAATTTTTTGAACCCCCATTATGATTCATCACCCCCAAACTCAATCCCAGCCTTCCCTTTGTGGTATGGTACCTTGCAGTACAATTTCAGAGAGATCCATACACTTGAACACAAGTTATTGTCTGGAAACTAGAAAAAAATGTGTTTTTTGGCCCCTTTTTGGCCCCAAATTCCTAAACGTTTAGGGCAATTACCCCCAAACTCAAACCCAGCTTTCCCTTTGTGATATGGAACCTTGTAGTACAATTTCAGAAAGATCCATACACTTACACACAAGTTATTGTCATGAAACTAGAAAAATGCTTGTTTTTTGCCCCTTTTTTGGCCCCTAATTCCTAAAATTTGGAGGCAATTACCCCCAAAATCAATCCCAGCATTCCTTTAGTGATATGGAACCTTGTGGTACAATGTCAGAGAGATCCATACACTAACACACAAGTTATGTCTGGAAGTTACAAAAATGCTTATTTTTTGCCCCTTTTTGGCCCCTAATTCCTTTACTGTTATTACCATAACCCCCAAAATCAATCCCAACCTTCCTTTTGTGGTATTGAACCTTGTGGTAAAATTTCATAAAGATCCATTCACTTAAACTAAAGTTAGAGTGCGAAAACCAATGTGTCTTCGGACGACGCCGGACGACGACGACGCCGGACGACGACGACGCCAACGTCATACCAATATACGACCACAAAAATTTTTTTGCGGTCGTATAAAAAGTCTGAAAAGACCAGTTTTTGTCTGAATTTGCATGAATTTTTACTCGACATTCTTAATTTGTCTGAATAATTTTTAAAAGTTCTTGACATAGTATGAATTTGTCTAATAAGGTTCTTGATTTTTCTTGGCAAGTGTCTTGACAGTATGAACATTGTCTTAAAATTTCTCGACACTTCCTGTATCATCTGATAAGAGTCTGGATTAGTCATCGACCAATTCTTGACTGTCTTAAATTTGTCTCGATCTGTCTTGACATATTCTTGACATTCTTAATAATGTCTGAATATGTCTCGACATATTCTTGACATTCTAAATAATGTCTGAATATGTCTCGACACATTCTTGACAGTCTTAAATATGTCTTGACACTATCTCAACAGTATAAATTTCACCTGAAATGTGAACAGACTTATTCTGCACTGTTTATGACATTCTATTGCTGTTGTATACTCCTTTTTATTATGGCTAAACTAAACTTTGAAGAATCAAGGATTAATTTGGTATAGTAAGATACCCTTTTGGTGCAGCTAAGTTGGAATATCCTGAATAATCCCCCATGTAGTTTAATTTTGATTTATTTTTATTAAACATTTAAGTAATTGTTTTCACTTGGAATATAAGTCGAAGGTATTGACAAACAGCATTTAGATTTTTGCCGTTCGCAAAACTGCCAGTCAAATTTGCTTTACTAAAATAGGTGTCTTGTATCTCTTTTGGACCCCACAATTCATCTTTTGGGTTTGTGTAACTAAAAAAAGAGGGGGGGGGGGGGGGGGGGGGGGGGGGGGTGGCTTTCGTTTAGGTCAAAGAATTTGTTCCCATCTTGATTCAAAAACCTTATTCATTTTTTAGAACAACCCAAAAACATTTTTTATTCAAATTTGAGTGTTGAATTTTATATCAAAAATAAATATTTGTGATAACTCCTTCCTGAAAAGAAAAAAATGTTTAGATCTATATTATGCATGTCTGTTTGAGAACCATTTCATAAGACCGATGACTTCTATAGAAATCATTGATGGGACCCATTATAAATACATTTTTTTTTATTATTCCTGGAGTAGATAATAATTTTCTTTTAATCTTTGGGAATTATTCAATTTGTTTTTATGTTAAAATAATTAACTTCATAATTTTGATGAAGAAAATCCATTTCAATTCAATTTTTTTTCATCAAAATGATGATTTTCATTTTCATCTATCAACAAACTTTTTAAATTGTAGTGGCATGGTCGGTCAACTGATAAGTTGTATGGCTGATTACAGGTGAAGTAATAACTTCTATTTGACAGTTGCGTGTACTCTGGGGTGTGGAATACCTTAATTTTATGGGGAACATCCTGTCCATGTGTAATACTTAATATATTCCAACAGATGACATTACACAAATTTTTCTTCTGTTAAATGAATGATTTGTATATCATCATAATTTGCTATTTATATAAACCACATTTTGGTATAATAATTATTTACCATATCAACATTGAATATTATGAATGTAGAATGAAATATGTCTACAGTATGATTGGTTTGAATCATATAATTTATAAGATTTAGGAATCAAAATTTGTAATTATTTAAAAACCCACATTGAAATTGTTTTATATCAACACACCCACATTTGAATTATTTTATACTTTAGATTTCATAGCCATATTTGCATTTGTAAAAATATTTATATACCCAAATTTTCAATTATTTTACATGCCCAACTTTTATTTTTGTTGTAAAGAAGTGTAACTTGAAACAACAGTATATCATATAAAGAGAAATAAAGATTAAAGTTATATCATGAATATTGGTCATGATTTGTAAAACTGAGAACTGTCTAGTAAATTTAAGACACGATTCAAAATGTTCAGAATATGTCAAGCCATACTGAGAAAAAATAAGAATGTCGAGAATATGTCGAGAAATTTCAAGACAGTATTCAAATGTCAAGAATTTGTCAAGAAATTTTAAGACCATATTCAGAATGTCGAGAATATGTCGAGTAAATTTCATACAAATTTAATATAAATGAGAATTTGTCAAGAAAAATTAAAACACAAGTCATACTTTTAGAGAATGTCAAGTAAAAGTTCACGCAAATTAAGACAAAAACTGGTCTTTTCAGACTTTTAGACTTTTGTAGTGTACTGTTTTTGTATGAATTTTGTTGATTTGAGAATATAAACATAACATTAAGATTTTATGAAATCCACATAACACACAATCAGGAATTGTTTTCTCCATAAAATGTGAATAAATGTTTTGAAATTAATTATACAAAGGTAATGATGCACATTTACAAGGAAACAGATCACAAACTGTACCAACTCCTTTTTCATGTTCAAAATAATTTTTTTCAGCAGCATAGAAAATCACAGACATCACAGAACTTCCTTCAGATTCTTCAATACCTTTCATACTTCATAAGTAGTCATTTTTACCAGTTACTCCATAAATAATTAACACTAAACATTTGTATTTCTGAAAAATTATGTTAACAAATTATAACATAACAATATTATTATCTATAAATGTATTAACTAAATACCAGGAAAAATACTATGATAAATAAAACAGTGAAACAGGATTTTGCCAAAGTAAACTGGGTTTTACAAGGAATAATGCATATGCATCTAGAATAAAAATCTTGCACGGTACTCTTGTTCCTTCTTAACAGTATACATATACTACACACATAACTACCATTTAGCTGTATGTGGTGACTTTATTTAGATCTGATTTCTGAATAAAAAACATGGGGCTGTTCCATTTTTTTTGTTTTATATAGGGGTTTTAGAAGGCACTTTTTATTTTACCGTTTAATGCATAAAACTGTAATTGATTATTTCCCATAACTGTTCAGGATATGTAATGCATAAAATTGTAATTGATTATTTCCCATAACTATTCAGGCTATCTTTCTAAAATAATCACCACCTATTAAATTTTAATAGTGTACCTTCCAACCCCTAAGTTTATAGAATATGTCGTGATATACTTTTCTGTTACATAATTTGTTGAGGAACTAGCATAATAAACAAAATGTTTCACCAGCTGTTTTAACTTTACTTGATTACACCAATAATATATGTAAAAGATCATACTCATGCCAACAGACCATCAAATATCCATTTTGTGAATTTGTGATTTAGACATAATAGAAATTGATCTGCAAGATCACTCCTAAAATTGCATGTGTAAAAGGTGCACAATAAAACTTCAAGTAGGAAGATTCTAACGAAGTGATGTTGTATGATTTGAAGATAAATAAAGCACAAAGACAACAGATTTACAATGAGGGGCAGATAGCAGAAAATGATCCCTGTGTCACCTGGAGTCACCAAATGACACAAAAACTAGTATTCAAATGAATACTGATGAATTAACAATGACCTATATTCCATGGACTTGCTCTCAAATTCTATTTCTCATCTTGACAGTTCCTGGATGGTAATCACATGATAAAGCAAGACCATGACCATCCCCAGCATCAACACAAGCTGAATGAACATTGCACATGTAACCCTGAACGGGGTCAAATGAGCATTGGGCATGTAACCCTGAGAGGGGTCAAATGAACATTGCACATGTAACCCTGAGAAGGGTCAAATGAGCATTGCACATGTAACCTTGAAAGGGGTCAAATGAACATTGCACATGAAACCTTGAATGGGTCAGGTTAATTATATTTTTTTAAAAGTCTCGTCTTTCATCATCCTTCCTCTTCTGAATCATCATCCTCATCGTGAATCGGGAATCTTAAAATGGCTGCCACACCAGATAATTGTCCTAGTTCTGTAAAAATAAATAAAAGCGTCAATACCAGTGAATTACCATAGTTTTCTTTCATTGCAGTGGCCATCCTCTGCAAGAATGTCACACCTCAATAGTGAAAAGAGAAAATCATATTGGAATATGTTGTTTGTTCCGTAACTTTTGAATATAATAGTTGTGGATGTCCTGATCCAAACAAGACCTATTAACGTCTTTTCCTTAAATGTGCATGCAAAATAACTTCTTATTCAGTCTTATGATAGAAAATTCAAAGAATTGTAAATAATGAAATACAACAAGAGAAATACCAAAAAATATTCTGTTACTGCGATGAGTTTTTTTCTTGTATAGATTTTTTCCCCTGATATATTTATCTTATAATAAGTTAGATTAATACATAGCATTTCCAGACCGTTGTCAACTATCATATTAAAGTGAGGTTTATTAACACTTAACCAATTTATAACACCTTTCTCTTGTAAATTAACAATCCTTAACAAAATAAGCAAAATGACTTCACTTTCATTTGTTTCAAAAGTCATTCCACTTCCTTATTCCTTCCGTTTTATATACGTATACAGAAAAAGCACAACATAGATATCAGTAGCTGGAGTTATTTAGGATAGAATGGAAGTAGACTCATTGATCAAAGGGGCACAACTCAACAATAACATATATTGTCTACAACAAATATTGCATCTTACAGTTTTTGTATCAATTGTTTTGACCTATTTGTTTTTGCTTTATTTATTTATGTGTGCTATTTTTGTATTATCTACACTGTGTGATTCCAGTTCTCTTCACCTTCAACACCTTTACATCCAAATTCAGATTTAAATAAAATAAAGTAAAAATATAAACTGTTAACACAGAGATACATGTATGTCTCATTTTTTTTCTCAATTTTGATAGTATATGCAAATGCAGAAATTATAAAATGACAATATTTAAGCAAACTTTAACTTGTAAACTATGTAAAAGTTTCAAAGTCAATGAATCATGATGAAGAGGTGCCATATAATCTCTATGGAAATGCCAATACATTTGCATACCAAATATCATTGACTTAACATTAATGGTTCATATTAAACTGATCTAATCAAACTATATAACATGTCAACTATGCAAAACATTCAAAGTCAACAGACCAGGACTGAGAGGGTGGGGCCAAATAAATTCCATGGAAATGAGATGCGCTAATGCAAATACATCTGCATACAAAATATCATTGATCTACACATAATTGTTCCCCTTAACTGACCTAATCAAAAACTAATACATGTAAACTAAGCAAAAGTTCAAAGTCAATAGACCATGACTGAAGGGGCAGGACCAAATTATCTCCATGGAAATGAGGTGTGCTAAGGCTAAAACATCTGCATACAAAATATCATTGACCTAACACTAATGGTTCCTCTTAAACTGACCTAATCACAAATTAATACATGTAAACTAAGCAAATGTTTAAAGTCAATAGACCACTACTGAGCGGGCAGGACGAAATAATCTTCATGGAAATGAGATGTGCCAATGCTTATACAACAGCATACCAAATAACATTGGCCTACCACTAATTGTTCCCCTTAAACTGACCTAACCACAAACTAATACATGTAAACAAAGCAAAAGTTTTAAAGTCAATAGACCATGACTGAGGGGGCGGGACCAAATAATCTCCATGGAAATGAGATGTGCCAATGCTAATACAACTACATACAAATATCATTGACCTTCAACTAGTGGCTCCCCATAAACTGACCTAATGACAAACTAATACATTGTTGACGAGGCCCCTGGAAACATCACCCCTAAGTCTCGCTTTTTGTGACTTTGTCAAAGTGAAACAAAAAACTGAATGACACAAAATAGCCAATCGTGCTGAAATTGGCATATACACCAGTCCATCAATCTATTTCATTATTAATCTAAGTTTAGTTCAAAGAATGATCACTGTAATTTAACATAATAACATGCTTATTCTATGGACCTTTGTATCACTAAAGTTAAAGTTGATGAAAAGGAAGTTTTGTCTGTAAATATAACTCAACTCAGCTGAACTAAAATTGCATGTATTTGTATGGAATGACAAGACCATAATGAAAATTCTTCTCGTTTCAAATTTTTTTCAAAAAGTTGATCACAATGAGAGGTAACTTTGTACTTCCGATTTCCTTGGACTATGATAAATTTGATACTTTCTTTTGTAATTTTTAAGGCTATGTTGGATTTGTTTTTTCCTACTTTTTACTGTTCTTTACTACATTTGATTCATTTGAGGATGTAAATATTAAATACATATTCAAATTGACAGCATGAACCTGGCTTTATGTATGAACCAGATTTTTAAAGGGCTAGCTCATAATATAACAATTTTCAACAAGCCATGACTTTGAGATGAAGAACAGCAATAAAAGCGCTGTTCCTTTGCTTTATGTGTTGTTTTTTTTTGCTGTGCATGTATTGATTTTGTGTCATAGATGGATACCCATATCCTTAGTTTTTCTATTTTGTCGACAACTAAACACTTTGTTAAAGACTCCAAACAAACATGCATTTATAAGCCCTCATAACTAATTGATGAATGAGTACTTAGTGGAGAATAAGAAAATGCCACTTTTAAAGTCTTGTTTGACCTGGTCAGTGATTGACTGCAAAACCTCAACACTTTTAGCTTGCACACGAACATGATACCATTGAGGCAGTTGTTTACCCTGAATAATAAAAGTTGCTGGAAGGTCTTTTAACCTTAAGTCAAAGAAATAAAACTTAAAAGAGGCCATCATTTTGACTTACGTTCCCCAGAAACATGTAGACTTGAAAAAATTCTAACTTCCCCTCCATTCTCCTTGACACCATCAACTATTTTTATATATCTTTTCCTCTTTTGTACATCTTGAGCCCTACAATTACAATATCTCAAGTATACTTTATGCTACATATTTTCATAATATCATATTATATATCATGAGCATGATTATATTAAATAATAAATGGGGATCTTCTGGGTTAACATTATTTCAAAATCATAGGGGGAAATTTCTTCTCTTTTTCAAACTGATAGGGAGAAGTGGCGAGACTTAAAAGAGAGGTGATTGTTTGCTTGCAGTCCCCATATTTCCCTAAAGTTATGCCATAATGAATGTTTTGTTTACCGTGATAAGGAAAAGGGATTTCTTTGCCCAATTGCATAAGCACTTATTATACCCAAGGTGCCTGTCCTTTCTTTAAGAATAGTTTCAGAGGAATGAACTGCTGGTAGGGTTTTCCTACCATATAAATCAAGCATCATAGGAAATGGAAAACCCAGAAATCTGTACAAAACTTTCTTTTTGAGATCATGTTCCAAGTATAGTTGGTTTCAGTTGATTAGATTTATAGCTGTTTGGACAAAAAATTATGGAAGACAATAAGCCCTTTGTGTACATCCTGCTAAGAAAGTGATAGTTAAGTAGAAGTCAATGAATGTTGTCAACACATACCTGAACAACTCATCTGATATCAACAGAACCTCTACAGCCTGCAAATCTACTGCCTTTTCAACATGTTTCACTCTGCAATACATATAAATAATAATTTTACTATTGGACCAAATGTTATCATTATTTGGACTTAAGTACAATCTATCATTCTACTACTACTTCTATACAAGTTATTTGGAAAAAAAGACAATTCTATATTTTATCATCAGATAGGCTTTTTGTTTTTTTTAATTTCAAATTCAACAAATATTGATACATTAAAATACTTTTAAACTGCTTTTCTGATTAAATGTTATTTGTAAAATCTTAGGTTTAAATGGGCTGAAGATGAATGCCCATTTGGCAGGCGACAATGACAAAATCCAACAAAGCTTTTAGTTATTTGAGCAGTTTTAATGTGCCTGTAAAATATATCCCATCGATAAATCCATTAAATGTTTATTTTTATTTATTTTGCTTTTTAAGAGATCATTAAAAAATTGGAAAAATTAATAACACTTGTGACAGCAAGTAGAAAGTAAACCATAGTTGTCTCATTGGCAATCATACCACATCTTCTTATATTTACATTATATAAACAGAAGATGTCTAAAGCTGGAAGACATTTTACCCATATGAGGCTCTGTCTGCATCATTCATCAGCATTTGATAGAATTCATCTAAAGCTTTAACTTCTGCCGAAGCTTTGGTATCAGCAAGTCTTGGAGCCAAACTTGGGTCTTGTAATACTTCTGTAAATAAATAGGGAAATTTATTCTTAAAGTTTTAACCTATACCGAGGCTTTAGTATCAGCAAGCCTTGGAGCCAAACTTGGGTCTTGTAATACTTCTGTAAATAAAAAGGGAAATTTATTCTTAAAGTTTTAACCTCTGCTGAGGCTTTGGTATCAGCAAGCTTTGGAGCAAAAACTTGGTCTTGCAATAATTCTGTTAATAAATGGAGAAATTTATTCTTTTATATCTAAAGTGTTAACTCATGCTGATGATTTGGTATCGGCAAGGTTTGGAGCTAAACTTGGGTCTTGTAATTCTTTTGTTAACAATGGAGAATTTATTCTTAATTATCTTAAGCTTTAACTTTTGCAGAGGCTTTGATATCAGCAACTTTGGACCAAACTAGGGCCTTCAAATTTAAAAGAACACCACATGTTTTAGTTGTTATTTGAACATTTTTTATAAAAATTCTCATTCTATTCTGATTGTGGATGACCTTGTTGGCCAAAAAAAATACGTCTGTTAAAGGTTACATCATTAAAAAATAAATGTGGATAGTGTCCACATGTGGACACAAATGATGCCCCCGCTTGCATATCATATAGTTATAAAGGGACATAACTGAAGAACAGTAAAAGTGACGCTACCCAAATTTGAACTTGATCTGAGTTTTGTGTGTAAGTCTCATAACATTTGGTTGAGGCTAACTTAAGTAGAGAACAGAAACTAAAAATTCAGCAATTTTTCTATTTATAAAGGGGCATAACTCAATAATGGTTAAAGTGACACTACCCAAATTCAACTTGATCTGTGTTTTATCAGTGGAAGTCAAAATTAAACATTGCATTGTATAAAGCATTGATTGTAGTTGATTCAACTATAATCATGGACAAAGGAAGATAACTCCAATTTTAAAAATAAAATGCTCCGCAGGGCGCAGCTTGATACGACCGCAGAGGTCGAATCCTGAACAGTTGGGGCAAGTATGGACACAACATTCAAGCTTGATACAGCTTTGCATTTGGATTGTGATTAAATATTTGACACAGCATAGGTTTCTGACACAGAATGAATGTGGTCTAAGAACTTAAAAATTTTAAATTGGACATTCACCTATTATGGTCCAATATCCAAAATCTAAATACATGGTTAGATTCAGCATATCAAAGAACCCCAAGAATTCAATTTTTGATGAAATCAAACAAAGTTTAATTTTGGACCCTTTTGACCTCAATGTGGACAAAGTTGAAAACGCGGCCCAAAAATCAAAAATCTAAATACATGGTTAGATTCAGCATATCAAAGAACCCCATATATTCAATTTTTGTTGAAATCAAACAAAGTTTAATTTTGGACCCCGATTTGGACCAACTTGAAAACTGGGCCCATAATCAAAAATCTAAATACATGTTTAGATTCAGCATATCAAAGAACCCTAAGAATTCAATTTTTGTTAAAATCAAACTAAGTTTAATTTTGGACCCTTTGGACCTTAATGTAGACCAATTTGAAAACGGAACCAAAAATTAAGAATCTAAATACATGGTTAGATTTGGCATATCAAAGAACCCCAATAATTCAATTTTTGATGAAATCAAACAAAGTTTAATTTTGGACCCTTTGGACCTCAATTTGGACCAATTAAAAAAACGGGGCCCAAAATCCAAAAACTAAATACACGGTTAGATTCAGCATATTAAAGAAACCCAAGAATTCAAGAATAAAACCCCATTGAAATTGGTCAAGAAATAAGCAATTTATACGAAGTATCTTCTTTTGCACAATACTGTGCAATTAAATATTTCTTGCTATTGCGCAATACTGTACAATTGACAATTTCTTGCTATTGCGCAATATTGTGCTATTGGATATTTCTTGCTATTGCGCAATACTGTGCAATTGAAGATTTCTTGCTATTGCGCAATACTGTGCAATTGAAGATTTCTTGCTATTGTGCAATACTGCGCAATTGAAAATTTCTTGCTATTGCACAATACTTATTATATAATAATTTACACATCCTGTTTGGTGTGTATCTCCTACCATATCATTATTATTTGCTTTTAAATATAAATCAGAAATAACCAACTTAAAATGGAAAATTTTAAAAGAAAAAAAAAATGAAAAAAAAAAAAATCCCCCCCCCACAAATATTTTGAACCCCCTTATGATTCATCACCCCCAAACTCAATCCCAGCCTTCCCTTTGTGGAATGGTACCTTGCAGTACAATTTCAGAGAGATCCATACACTTGAACACAAGTTATTGTCTGGAAACTAGAAAAATGTGTTTTTTGGCCCCTTTTTGGTCCCAAATTCCTAAACGTTTAGGGCAATTACCCCCAAACTCAAACCCAGCTTTCCCTTTGTGATATGGAACCTTGTAGTACAATTTCAGAAAGATCCATACACTTACACACAAGTTATTGTCCTGAAACTAGAAAAATGCTTGTTTTTTGCCCCTTTTTGGCCCCTAATTCCTAAAATATTGAGGCAATTACCCCCATCATCAATCCCAGCCTTCCCTTTGTGGTATGGTACCTCGCAGTACAATTTCAGAGAGATCCATACACTTGAACACAAGTTATTGTCTGGAAACTAGAAAAATGCTTATTTTTGGCCCCTTTTTGGCCCCCAATTCCTAAATGTTTCGGCAATTACCCCCAAACTCAATTCCAGCTTTCCCTTTGTGATATGGAACCTTGTAGTACAATTTCAGAAAGATCCATACACTTACACACAAGTTATTGTTATGAAACTAGAAAAATGCTTGTTTTTTGCCCCTTTTTTGGCCCCTAATTCCTAAAATTTTGAGGCAATTACCCCCAAAATCAATCCCAGCATTCCTTTTGTGATATGGAACCTTGTGGTACAATGTCAGAGAGATCCATACACTAACACACAAGTTATGTCTGGAAGTTACAAAAATGCTTATTTTTGGCCCCTTTTTGGCCCCTAATTCCTTTACTGTTGGTACCATAACCCCCAAAAACAATCCCAACCTTCCTTTTGTGGTATTGAACCTTGTGGTAAAATTTCATAGAGATCCATTCACTTAAACTAAAGTTAGAGTGCGAAAACCAATGTGTCTTCGGACGACGCCGGACGACGCCGGACGACGACGACGCCAACGTCATACCAATATACGACCACAAAAATTTTTTTGCGGTCGTATAATAACTTGATATTTAGAAGAAAATAAAAATTTTGCAATTTTTTCCATTTATAAAGGGGCATAACTCTAGAACGGTTAAAGTGACGCCACCAAGATTCAATCTTGATCTGTGTTTTGTGGTAATAAGCATTGTGTATAAGTTTCATAACATTTGGTTGAGGCAAACTTAAGTTAGAGAACAACAACTAAAAATTTTGCAATTTTTCAATTTATAAAGGGGCATAACTCTAGAACGGTTAAAGTGACGCCACCAAAATTCAAACTTGATCTGTGTTTTGTGATAATAGGCATTGTATATAAGTTTCATAACATTTGGTTGAGGCAAACTTAAGTTAGAGGACAGAAACTAAAAATTTTGCAATTTTTCCATTTATAAAGGGGCATAACTCTAGAACGGTTAAAGTGACGCCACCATAATTCAAGCTTGATCTGTGTTTTGTGGTAATAAGCCTTGTGTATAAGTTTCATAACATTTGGTTGAGGCAAACTTAAGTTAGAGGACAGAAACTAAAAATTTTGCAATTTTTCCATTTATAAAGGGGCATAACTCTAGAACGGTTGAAGTGACGCCACCAAAATTCAAACTTGATCTGTGTTTTGTGGTAATAAGCATTGTGTATAAGTTTCATAACATTTGGTTGAGGCAAACTCAAGTTAGAGAAAGGAAACCAATTTTGGGACGTACGTACGTACAGACGGACAAGGGTAAAACTTAATGCCCCCACCGCTAAGGCGGGGGCATAAAAAATAGGGTAGGTAGGTCAGTATTTCCATTTTATTTTATTTTTCCATTTTATTTTTTGCGACATGATTATGAGTCGTGCGGTCCATTTTGCAGTGGTCCGAGTTGTCCATTTGGCGAGTTTACCCGTAATTTTAATGATTGGATTATTTCCCTTTGTCATTGATTGGAAAAAATGGCAGCAAAGTGTTTATTTCATCACACGAGTCGTGAATTTCCTTAAAACAGCTGTCATATTCACGTTTGTGAACATTAGGATGTATCAGGCAATTGATTTCTTTTATTGGCAACTCTAACTTCGCTTTTGACACGAGTTCAATTAATTTTTCACTTTATGACGGAAATAAAATGACTTAGGGTCAGCGCTTAAAAGCATGGTCGATCGGGTAACTGTAAACAGACATATATTTTTTTTTGGCCTAACTTCCGTGAATAAATACAAAATATATCCCTTAAGTTGATTGAGTGAATCTTGCATTTTCATAAATGACCAAAAGTAACACTTGACTTCTTACAATTGTGCTGACTAGCTAAAGTAAAGTTTATATATAGATGTTTAAGACTACACAGTTTACAAGATTCTTCCAGCTTCAGTCAAGAAAAGACTTTAAATAATGACCATTTAACCATGACATACACTGATTCCCAGTTCTTACCCTTCAGTGAATGTTTAAATCCTGATGAAGAGTGTACCAGTACAAATTTTGATTTATTATCTGTAAGTATTTTCCAGTCCATCTTCACTGCCATTGTAAACATATACTCTGCAAACTGGTCCTAAAAAATAAAGATAATCAATTGTTAACATCTACTTGAAAAAATATCCCTGTAAAGAGAGATTTGTTGTAAGCATATCTTGGGAACTGGTTTTGTAAAGGAGGGACATTAGCACAATTAAGAGTCAAGGGCTTTAAATTCTATTAACAGTTCAATGATACATCTTATTTTCAATTCTATTTGTTTGTTTGACATGATCAAATATTTGAATAATTTGAAGGCAGTTTTATACAGTTGGCAGATAGAACAAAATTTATTGAATATCAAATCTGCTGCATTTAAATGATAAATATTTTTTTTTCATTTCAATGTATTTTTTGTTTGTTTATGAAATAGTATAAATCTAATACAATGTTTATTGTAAGGGAAAAAACTCTTCCTTGCTTCCTCTTCAATTAATAATAAGAAATGGAATACAATGCAAAGACCCCTCCAAGATATATAAAACATTTACGCATTGAGACATTTAACATAACCTTGAAGATAGGACTTTGGATTTGTGTCAAACTTTCAAACTCCCCCATGACTGGATTGGAAATTTACTAATATAAATAATAAATTTCTCTGTTACTCCACAAAAATTAAGATATGATTTATCTACCATTACTGACAACAATTCTATTCTATTTGTTCAGTGTTAAATCATGATGTCAACATTACCTTTACAAAGCCTGGACTTGCAATAAGAACACACTTCACAACTGAAAATAGAAATATATTTCAATAAGAATTTGTTTCACTTATCTGTGTTTGTTTATATCACCTACTTTAACCATTCAGCTCAAAGGGAGACATAAAATCGGTTTCCACCACAGCTGAACACAATATTTTATGCTATAAAGTCAGAAATTACAGTAAACCAACTTAGAATTACAAATATGTCAAACTTGGAGATTTTCTAATTTAAAAACATGAGGTTAGAAAATGGTGAAAATATTTTGTTTGACCAAATGTCTGACAGTCCTTTGATGATTTTCAAGAAGTCTGTTTCAAGCATTTTTTTCTCCTAGCTATTTTGATTTTTGTATGTAAGGTCAGCTGATTATGAACCTGCATTTCGGTGTTTAATTTAAGGAAACACTGTAAGAACAAATTTCAGGATAATGGCTCAATTTTATCATTTTCCAGAGTCATGACAGTGCATCCCAATATGGGTAGGAAATATTTTCTTCACTGTTGAAAGTAATATAAATAATGTAAGAGGAAGAACACAAAGTATAGTTCATTATAATAACTTTACTATTGATTGATTTTATTAACTGTTTACTGTTTTATGCCCAGAAGGTATATCCCAAAATTTTTATTGATTGGCAATGACATTATGTAAAATCAGTCAGTAAAAAATATATAGATTCAGAAAGGGGGAAGATAATACGCTTTATAGATATGTGAAGTCATTGGTATATAACAGTACTTACTGTCAAAATTAACATGCCGTAGTACCGCCTGTATAATCTGATCATAAAACTTTGTAAGACCCTGTTAGAAAAGAAAGAAATAATTGGTATTATATAAAACTTATCTTTAATTATTTATACTAATGCCATGTAGAAAGGTGGAACTTAAGTGTACATGATTGAACATTGTTTGAAATATTTTTAAGTACAATTAGTCATTGACCACCAAATGTCAGTTTATCTGGTTAATCATGTTCAAAGGTCACACTCTGGACCAGCAAAAACTGACCTCATAATAGAGATGACCTTTGAAGTGAGGTTTAAAGTGTATATATATAATAACAGTGGCATAAGTAAAGATGACCTGACATGACAGGTATCACTGCAAAGAAATGACCTTTATCATGTTTATGAATATGTATTTCTGCTCCATTTTTCATTGACTAATTAATTTTTCATTTCCACAGTGCAGCTTTTCAATGAAAATCATTTAGCAGAAATTCATAATAACATAATTTGTTAACCAATCACAGCTCTATGATAATTTCCCTGATTATACCTTATCGTGTTGAGCACACATTCCTTTCCTTTTCCGAGGTATAGTGGTTTCTATTTTGGCACGTAACAATGTCATATTGGGTGTAATGAGACAAACATGAGCTAATCCTTCCTGCATTATCACAGCAGCTAAATCAGCATGTTGAGTGGGATCACAAGCCATATCTAGAAGTATACAAAATTACACATAAGTAGACACTATATAACATTGTCAACTGAGGCGAAGCCAAGGTTGACAATGTCTATTCGAGGGGTAACAATCTGTTCTATCACCCTCTCAAATATGTGTTATTTAATTTATTATACTGAATGTTCTGTTATTACTGTCTATCAAATTAAAATTCAAAGTGATAAACTATGATGTCTTGTACATAACAACAATCTGTATTTAATAAAGCACACACTTGATCAAGCATCTCCATGAAGGGTAATAGAGTATTTGCCATGGGATAGAGTAAATTATCTCCCTCGTATTAACCAATCAAAATCTGGCATTTTGACATGAAGTTTAATAAAAATAAATTACCTATTTTTAACTATAAATCAGAGAATCATAAACCATCAGACACTATGATAGAACAACCACAGTATAATGTTAAACAATAAGTCTGTAAGGCTAAAATGACACAAATGGTCTAGACATTAAATCTTGTCAACTTTAACAGTACAAACTACTAGGTACACATAATGTAAGGATGACAGAGGGAGAAATTGGGAATAATTGTTTGTCAAAAGAGGGAGATTTAACCTCTGTCAGTAGATTTTAAAATTCAAGCAAAAATATCAGGCAGTTCCTATGGATACGTGAAGAGTCGACACCTACATCATGTCCACTGTATGCAATTAAACTATTTTTGAACAGCACATCATCATTTCCCAGAAGAGACTGTATGGACTCTTGATAAAAATGTCAAACATGACCAATTTTAAGTGTAGAGATGTGTTTAAGCTATAATAGTATGATTTATTGTTCTTCATTGATAAATCTAATTTTACTATTTTGGATTATATTTAAAGGGAAGTAATATGTGTGCATACTTTCCTCCAAAATAAGCTACTAACAAACATTTATCAATTATCATCATTTAAGCGAAGATGTATTGATATTATTCAACAATATATATTACTACATAATCAATATGCATGACAAATAAATACCTATTCTATCTATTGCTACACTATCCCATTCATGTTTGCCTAGTGCAAATTTTCTATTCAGTTCCAGATCTAAGGTGTGATAGGCTCCCATCTGAAACATATCATAATACATGAAGTTTGAATAAAATTAACCCCATTAGGACATTGCTGCACAGAAATTTTTGTTCAGATAAGAGTCCATTTTTAAAGTAGGTTAACCTCTTTAAGTGATGTATATATCATGAAGTACATTTTGTTTAAGATCTCTTAGCTTTAGAATAGTGTTTTTTTGCCTTTTTCTTCTCAAAGAAATTTTGGTTGTTTTTCTTTAATTTATAAAACAGTTTACAGTATATGGAAGTTGTTTATAATTTGAAATACAGACAGCTTAAATCCTTACTAGGTGATTAAAATATCATGTTTATAACATGTCCCATCAAACGATCATAACATTTGGAAAGTGTAAGTAGGAAAATTGTAAAAGAAAATTAAAGCCAATTATCATTATGAGGTTTTAGTAATACATCTATATATGAGTAATTAATGTATAATCTAAAGAAACAGACTTAAACGCAATAAGATGCCCAAGTGAAGCTTTATCTTATTGTATTACCTTGACATATTGGTTCTCCTGTATATTTCGACCTTTGACCCTAAGAACACATCCTTGTGTATCAAAGTCGATAGTTTCCACCTGGATTGTAAGAGTTGTCCGCACTTTGTTTACACTAACACTTCCTGTCGCAGATTCAGTTTGTACTTTTCTGTGAAATAAAACATAAATTGTAAGAATACGAATAAAAGGGGATGTAGAATGTGAATGTGTCTGTGAACAACTTTCTCATTAACTTAGTGGTGAAACAGTTCATACTAAACAATGAATGCTTAACACCTAATGGCAGATATAACATGTATAATTAGGATAAACATTAATTTCACATGATGTATCCTACTTTGTACTGGCCTGAAAAGCTGAGTCATATTTTGAATACATATTCCACAAACTTAAAGTCTCCAGGAAGACAAGTTACATAACTGTTGACATATCTTTGTTCTTACTCCAGATATTGTTTTCTTGATGGAGAAACGGCAAACTCCAGACTGGGGATCAAACCCACAACTACCAGCACTGGAGGCAATCACTCGAGAAGTTTAACAGTAAAAGTCAGTATGTTGAACACACAGACCAGATGCTCAATTTTACCAAAATTTTATTAAGGTTCCATAGGCCTATAGAAACAATTTTTACAAGTTGGACATCAATTGAAAAACTGCCTCAGAATAATAGACATGCAAAATTTAACCTGATTGTTGTAGATCTCAGTGTATCACCAACTGCTACCAAGTTGTAGGCATGCCACATGTCCTCTGGTTCCTCAGGGACCAGTTCTACTGACCTAAAACAAAAAATATATAAAGCATGAATTTAACATACATGTAATATAAATGTACCATGTTACAATCCCAATTACAAGAAACAATATAATTTAACAAATCAATATATTCAAGCAATATGAAATGAACATTTTTACATATAGTATTTTCTACAGGTTTTAAGAGGGTGTGGCCCCTGTCATGTTTTCTTGACGCCCTTGCCTTAGGCGACATATCCCTTTTGGGCAGTATTTTACAATGCCCTGCCATAATTATAATCAGTACTGAAATTAAATTTTTAAATAAGACCATTTCAACTTATTCACTTGGACAAAATCAAAATTTAGATGACCAACATTTTATAGAATTTCACAATTATGTTTGAATATTTATGGAAGCAAGTACCAATACTGTTGATGGTCAACTGGTATTGAGACACCAGCAACTTTGTAGAGGCAAATTTTATGATACACCGGATGTTACGTAGCCAAACAGCTGATTATATTTTCATTTAGTAATACCAGATTTACTATTTGGTTGGTCAAGGGATGAGAACAGATGAAGACTTCCTTTCTGTTGTTATCTCAATAAAACAAAAGTTAGAATGGCTGACATAGTTTTGATTGCATTACAACACATGACTAGTTGTCTGATTGTTTTTCACTGACCAATTGCCTAGTAAGGTGGTAAGGGAGATAATAACACAACTTCTCTAATAAGATAATTAGTCATTTTAAACAAGTTAACTGATTAGGTTTTTAGTACCAATAACCAACACATTTTCTCCAGAATTTGATTTGATTTTGATTTTTGGTGTTTTAATGCCACTTTTAAGCACCGATTTTGGGCTATTTCGTGACGGCCAGTTTTTATTGGTGGAGGAAGCCGAAGTGCCCGGAGAAAACCAGACCTCCGATAGGAAAACTGACAATCCTAGTCAATTAAGATTGGAGTCGAGTGCACCCGCACGAGCGGGGTTCGAACTCACAACCTCAGTGTTGACTGGCTATATATAGCTAGTTATTACAGTAGTAACTACTTAGACCACTTGGCCACCGATGCCCCTTTCACCAGAATTTACAGAATTCTTGGCAATGTGAGACTTGGCACTTTTACAAAAATCCTCAGACACCCTGGGATCCAGTATTAAAGTTTTTAAGTTTTTTTTAAAGTTATCAAATAAAATGAGGCAGTTGCACTTTCAAGTTTCTATGAGGTGAGTCAAGAAGTAATCATTTTATTACAAAAAGGAATGAAATTAGTACCCAAATATACTCTATCTTTATTTCTAAAAAGGAAAGATGAACCAATGGTATATTTCAATTAAATCCCTGTTAGTAACAGTGCCTTTATATCTCTATTAAAGGTGCCTTAAATGTGTAGTCCTCTAGGTTAAGGGTGCCCTTAAAATGCAGCCAATAACACAAAGAGTGAACTTCTGAGAACACAATTACCCTGCCCTTTTCAAGCTGCAGAAAACACTTACATACATCATGCATTACACATTGAAGATTGAAGAATTTTCTTTTATTATTTAGGTCGTGAACATCCAATTACACAAAAGAAAGCAAAACTTGAATAAACAAAAAGACTTTAACATGTTTAAAGTTATAACAAAATAAACTCCATGGGAACTGTTCACAAAAATAGGGAATAAGCAAATAAATATTAATAAAAGAATTCCAATTTCCCCTGTGTTGCACATATTTTATCTGTCCAAGGGCAATAACTAAAAAAACCTTCTTTAAATTCATTATAAATATCTTAGAGAATTAGAGAAATGAAGGCTTGAGAGCAAATGCAATGCATTTTTTGATATAATCAATATTTCCAAGGGCATAACTCTTTTTAAAATATTTGACCAGTACTGATTTTTTAAAATGGTCCAAGAAATTTGCTGATATAAACCTTTGATATAGATTTGATAAATATCTGGTAAAAATTGTTCATGTGAGAGCTCTTAAAATGTTAATTTCCATATGATTAATATTTCCAAGGGCACAACTCTTTTAAAACTTGTTGATAGGCACTTATTTTCGAACTTGTCTGAGACATTGCTGATATAAACCAATGATATAAAGTTTTATAAAAATATGGCAAGAATTGTACAGAAAAGTGTGCTAACAATGCAATTTTCCATATGATTAATTTTCGAAGGGCATTACTCTTATTAAAATTGTTGATCCGCACTGATTTTTGAACTTTTTCGAATCAATGCTGATATATACACCTACATGTATGATCTAAGTTTCATAAAAATCTGTCAAGAATTGTACACATGAGATCACAAACAATGCAATTTTCCATATAATAAATATTTCCAAGAGGCATAATAAAACTTTTAAAATTGTTGATTGGCACTACTTTGATCTTGATAGGTATATTGTGAAACATCCAAGGATATTACTACACTATTAATTTACTTAAGTGGGACCCTCCTTACAATATCACTGAAAGTTTTAGCTGGTTCTTCTGCTGTTTGAATCTTGGTGAAAATATCTGGTGGTAGTAGGTTCCAATCTTTAATTGTGTTTGGTATGAAGGTGGATTTTAATGAGTCTGATTTTGTTTGCAGTCTCAGGAAATGCCAGCTATATGCATGTTCTTGGTTGTCCTAGATGTTTTTTTAGTTGATAAGATGGTAAGTTGGCTTGACCGTGTATGCCTTTGCAGAGGAGGATAAGTCTGTTTTGGGTTGTACAGTCTTTTACGGATGGTAGTTGCGGCGGGTCTAAAATTGCTGTCATACTTCCTGGGTCGTAATTGTAGTTTGATGTTATGAACCTTGCCGTTTTTTTCTGTACACTTTCAGAGTTCGCGAAAACTTATTTTGACCCGTCAGTCATGGGACCCACAAAGCATGATCATTTGCCAGTCCTACAAAATTTTAGCCAGTCCTACAAAATCTGTCAATTTTATCCTGAAATAAAATTAATAACATATTTTATCGAAAAATAACTTTATTAATACTAGTTTTATTCTTCGCACCCACAGGCAAATTAACAATGAAGGACCAGTTCAGGTCTTCTGATTGTTCTTATTTAAAGTCATCTTCACTATCCATTTCATCATCTGAATCACTTTCTCGGCTGTTACAGTATTTGTTTGCTCCATTGTAGGGCTCAATTGGCCAATCGCCGATTGTTTGCCAGGGATGGCTCTATGAACAAATTTAGTAGGCCATGTGTAGATCGCCGCTTTGGTTTGTTTATAATAAATCCGTAAACCAGTACTGGAAATTGGCAGCGGGTACATCTGATAACCGATGTAAACACTTATTGGAAACAGTTGCAGTACATCTAATAACCGATGTAAAAAAGTTGCCGAAATATTCACTACAAAGGCCATTTTTACATCTGTCATCGGGACCGGCACTAGCCTTCAAAATACTGGTCCGAGCCTCATTTTGACCGACAGGACCGACCTGCGAACTCTGCACTTTCCTGCTGACCTTGAAGATATATTCGGTCTGGGTCCCAGAAAGTGATTGCATATTGGAGGACAGGTTGTATAAGTCCTTTATATGCCTGGAGTTTAACTTCAAGGGGACATGATGAAAGATGCTTGTCGAACTTTTCTGAAACAATGTTGATATAACACTGTTCTGTTGACAGCTGTTGCCATGTTGTAAGTCACATTATTTCGCGAGCAAATTTGTAAATCTGATTACCATAAAGAATAATGACAATACAATGAAAATAAAATTTGTAATACTTTATCCTCTTTCAGTTTCACAGGTAACAACTGATTCATATTAGGGTTTGAAGGGATTCTGAAGGAGAAGGTTATATGTGTTTGTCAGCGTGTTTAAGTTGTATTATCTACATTCGATTTGATGCAAAATATTCAACTAGAAACTTGGCAAAAAAAATATGATCTTATAAGTTATAGACTTAACGCCACGTTCACACAAGTATGCTTAAAACTGTACATAAATTTTACAGTATACAGTAGAATTCTGCAAAACTGTTGTGATCTGTGAAATATGATGCATACCCTGCATTGTATTTATCAATATTCCTAAAGATTTGCTTCATTTTTAGTGTAATGTTATTATCATCCTCGTTAGATCGAAAACGTGATATATTTTTGACAGAAAAGTTTGCAGGAAGTTGGGCAATCAGGCGGCCTTCCGACTCTTAGAAACAAGTCTTTTAATTGGTCCAAGTCTCAATATTATCCAATCAAAATCCCAAATGGAAACTTCGGATTTTTTTCTAGGGGAAGCAACCTTTCTCTATGTAAAGTAGATTGCAACACGATCTTCTAAAAAAAACATCTGTTATAATTTTTTTTCTGTCTTTTTTTGTCAAATTATTATATTTGGCAGACATTCTGATCATATCAAATTGAATTTTTCTGGGTGAAGCTTTATCTTTTGTATTCGTTATAATATTCTCTTTTCAGTTATAAACTTACAAAATGCAGCCACTAATTCAGTGGACATGCAACTAGGATGAACACAGTAATAATATTTTTTTTAGTAAAACCGTTGATACTATTTATGAAGGTCTATACAGGATTTACAGAATAGAGAATAATGGGCAAAAAATTCAGAATAAATGGCGAAAAGGTAGAGAATAGAGAATATTGTTCGTTAAATGGGGTGCTAAAATATAAATAATAGAGGAAAATGGGCAAATTGGATCAAGAATAGAGAAAAATTTTCTAAAAAATTCAAGAAAAAAGAAATGATGGACCCAATCCATACCACCATTTGTAATTTCGTTCCATGTTTCAGAGACATTTGTACACAAGTGATTGGTATTCCGCTGGGGACTAACAGTGAGCTTCAGATTTTTTTACTGTTATAACAAACCGGGACACAATAGGGGCCCCATAATAGTATCACGACTCTTCACAGATAAGACTAACGCGAAGGTACCCAAATTGCACCTATTTTGACAGTTCTTTCACGTGCGTGTATTTAAACAAGAGGCTCATGAGAGCCTGATATCGCTCAACTGTAATTTCAGTTTCAGGCATTTGACTTATTTGTAGATCTTACTTTTCTGAACAATTTTGTCATTTACACTTTCTCTCTTTCTATACTAATATTAAAGATAATACATAACCCAAAACTGTAAAATTTCCTAAAAATTAACATTTTCTGGACATTAACCCAACAATAAGTTGTCCTATTGGTCTGAAGATTACTTGACAGGTAGATCTAAACCTGTTTAACACATAAAACGTGTTGTTTCCTTTTTTTTTTTTTTCACCTATGTCAGTTTTGCTCTTACTGCCAAAAACTTCATTTGACCCCTATGTTCTATTTTTAGAAACTAACGCCATGTTTTTGAATGGATCAAACCCCTAAGTACAATCTATAAACTAGATACCCTAAGGAACATTCTATTAAAGTTTTAAAGTATTTGGCCAACTCGTTTCAGAGAAGAAGATTTTTGAAAAAGTAATTACTTTCACAAAAAATGTTAAAAAAAAAACCATTTAAGGGCAATAACTCCTTAAGGGGTCAATTGACTATTTTGATCAGGTTGACTTATTTGTAGAAAAATAAACCATTTCGGACAGTAACCCTACAATGGGGGGGGGGGGGGGGGGGGGGGGGTCCAATTGGGCAGAAAATTTCATTGCAGATAGGTTTTGACTTATTCATTACTTTAACTCCATGTCACTTTTGCTCTAACTGCTATAGTTTTTGAGATAAAAGCCAAAAACTACATTTGACCCCTATATGTTCTATTTTTAGCCATGTCGGCCATGTTTGTTAATGGATCAAAACTTCGGATACAATTTATAAACCAGTTACCCTAAGGAACATTCAGTTGAAGTTTAGAAGTATTAGGCCCAGTAGTTTCAGAGGAGAAGATTTTTAAATGTTAGCAAAAATGATGAACACATTGTGTAAAATCGTCTTTAAAGGGCAATTACTCCTTAAGGGGTCAATTGACTATTTTGGTTCTTAAGTTTTTTGTAGATCTTACTTTGCTGAACATTTTTGCTTTTTACAGTTTATCTTTATCTTCAATAATATTCAAGATAATAACCAAAAACTGCAAAATTTCCTTAAAATTACCAATTTAGTGGCAGCAACCCAACAATGGGTTGTTTGGTTCGTCTGAAATTTCAGGGCTGATAGATCTTGACCTATTGAACATTTTTATCCCTTTCAGATTTCCTCTAAATGCTTTAGTTTTTGAGATATAACTCAAAAACTGCATTTGACCTCTATGTTCTATTTGTAGCCATGGCGGCCATGTTTGTTGATGGATCAAAACTTCGGATACAAGTTATAAACTAGATACCATAAGGGACATTCAGTTAAAGTTTAAAGGTATTTAGCCCAGTAGTTTCAGAGGAGAAGATTCTTGAAACATTTTACGACGACGACGACGACGACAGACGACGGACGACGACGGACGCCAAGTGATGGCATAAGCTCACATGGCCCTTTGGGCCAGGTGAGCTAAAAAAAAAAAAACAGACAAAAGTTGCCATTTTATGTTTATTTTGTAGATGTATCATTATTCACTATATAGTTCCACAAATATAATTTTGAATTCATACTGAATTATAGAAAATAGATTTAAACCGACCCCAAAACGACCCAAGATTACGTAATAAGGAGTATCTAAATCGCATCCATGCTTAACAACACATCTGTAAAAATCGAATAACTAATGTTTTGTTTAATTTTTCCACATTTTTTGGACAATTTGACAATTTGACAATAGTTCATTCTTGTTATGCATTTTGTATATGAAATGGATATTTCAATTTCCCATTTTCAAAAGTAGACTTTTTGTAGACGTCGCATGTGTACTTGTTTCACTGAGGACTTTATCTGTTGATACATAATAAGACTTTTTGTGTATATTTAAGTATATTTAGCGATGTTGAAAGACGTGTATAATGGCAAATCATAAAAATAAGAATTGTTTAGTCTCTTAGAAAAGCTATACGACCATCCTCTGCTTTTTTGTAAAATGGATGCAATTTGGGTACTCGGTGCAATTTGAGTACTGTGACATTACACTCTACGAAACACGACATGATAGATAATTGTTAACAATACATGCAGGGATTTAGAATAGGATCAATTCTGTTAACTGTCTATTTCCCCCTCTTTTTTATGAAGTACAGCAACTGATATTGCAGTGTATGCCTGCATAAATTCACATAGACAGATTAAGGTTTTCAGACAGTTTAAAAGTAACTAAGAACATTCTTTGATACGGTATATTATTATTTGTGTTGATGGCAGATCTTTGTTAAGTATTGATAAATTCATTTGCAACTCTTATAGACGTATAATAGATAAACTTGTTTTTCTTTTACATGTAATAGCTATAAACAAACTTATCCTTACAGGTTATCAATTTAGCATTGAAGTAAGTGAAGATCTTTTAATATGTTTAGATGCATAACTGAATATGTATTGCTATAACACTTGTGGTACTACACATGCACTATCGATAATTATATTTTGTCATTACACAAGGTCAAGCTTTAAGAGACTGTTCATGAAGTCCTTACACTAAATGCATCGGAGGTGTACTAATTAGTCAGAAAGAACATGATTTATTTATTAGTTGAATTCGGCTTTGAAATATAACTTTCATCTTTGTCCATTGGTCCATATCGATAGTTGCTCATCGACGATCATACCACATCTCCTTATTTTCACATTTTTATTGGTTGTAATTTATTTTCACATTTGATATTGGTTGTAATCATTTTCACATTTTTTATTGGTTGTAATCATTTTCACATTTTTTATTGGTTGTAATTCATTTTCACATTTGGTATTGGTTGTAATCATTTTCACATTTTTTATTGGTTGTAATTCATTTTCACATTTGTTATTGGTTGTAATTCATTTTCACATTTGGTATTGGTTGTCATTCATTTTCACATTTTGTATTGGTTGTAATCATTTTCACATTTTTTATTAGTTCTAATTCATTTTCACATTTATCATTGGTTGTAATTTCATTTTCACATTTTGTTATTGGTTGTAATTCTAATAAGAAATCATCAGATAATGTTTAGTTAGAATTGGCTAACTCATATCAGAATCGGAAGGCAATTTTAGACGACGGATGCATTTGAAGAGATGATATAATCTTATTAAGTCAGAAAATATTACTCCAAAATAAGAAAGTTAAAACGTTCGTCTCGTTCAGCACACAATGCCTAGACGATTAAATGTCAGATAAATAGATATCACATTAGTCCATAATGGTCATATTATGCATTAAAGGGAACCAAAGTCAACGAATGAAAATATATGTAACGGTGGCCTTCTTTTGTCTATTTGTCTACTTACATGTATACGAAAAGATGCATCCAAGCACTATGTCTAGTTTAAATAATCATAATGAAGAATGACTGAGGTATGAACTTGCATGTAAAACTTAATTAAAGTCAATGATTGATTGATTATTGGTTGCTTAACCAACGATAATGAAGTACAAAATGTAGGTCAAAGTGAAATATTTTAGTCTGGATGCTGATCTACCCTATAAGGTCCAATCATACTCTAGTTTACAATGAACATGATTCTACTATGTATAGTGACTTAGATATGTAGTTTGACATGAAATTTAACTAAGGTTTACATGTATCTAACCCTTAGCAAAGTTAGGGGGAACCTTTAAATATGGGTCACATGACCTTCAACTCAAGGCACATACACGAAAAATGAGGCAGAAGATACCACGGGGACACTCAAAACTCGTTAGTGAAGATAAACTGACAAAGCATGGCAAACCAAACTCCGAAAGTCGACGAAAAGACAAACATGTTCACAAAACATTACATAGAAAACTAAAACTGAACAGCACGAACCCCAACAAAACTTGGGTGATCACAGGCGTTAGCGCACCTAGAAGCTCTTACATGTGGAATGTGGTGGTTGTAAGCCAAGCAGTTCTCACGCCATGGCGGTAGTTAAGAACACAGGCGTGAATGCACACCGGCTAAAGGCTTTACTGCAACAGCTCCCATACTTTATTCAAACAAATTTAAAAAACGATATCAAAATCCCTAATGCGCCTTAAAATGACTGCAAACTAAAAATCTCCATGTTATAATTTAAACAGTGTGAACATATGTATTTTTTTCCTAACTGAAACCGCAGCACACGGGACCTTTGGGGGTTTCCAAATTTGCGAAAAA